TTGTATTGTGGAACCAGTTTACCATAAAAGATAATTTACAATTGTTTTGGAAGGTCTTAGAGAATGAACAGACAATGAAGAGAACTGGAAAACATCTTAGGTAAGGTCCAGTCAAAGGAAGATAAGGGGAGTAGATAAGGAACCTTTTAAGGGTTTTCTGGAGCCAGATTCTTTTTAGGGGCAATGATGCATTTGAATAAGATTAAAAAGTAGGTTAAGGCTTAACCACTAGACAAATTTTAATTACTGATATATTGCACTAAAAAAATAACTTACAGAAATCTATTCTTAACCCTATCTTACCTTCTGAACTCATTACCTTAATTACACTGAGAAGTCTTCACTGGGACATCCCATGCAGTTGGAAAACTGAATTATCTGAATCCAAACTAAGGATGTTTTATCTTGTCATATCTGGGCCCTGCAGTCTTTTCTGTCAGATTTGTGTTTTCCAGACTACAGGCCATTCACCTATAATTGATAGCAAACATGGAGTACTAGCCAATGTCCCCCCATCATTCCCTGAATGCAGCCTGTGCTTGGTTCCAGTCAACCTCCTCTTCGGGACCCCCTCAAGGAAGGGACAGCTCTATACCCCTTGCCAGCAGGAAGCAGTTTCAGAAGCTGAGATCTTCTCCCCTTACCGCAAAAGAATTTGGGTTCCATTTGCTTGAGGGAGGAAGGACGAGGGTGGGAGCTTAGACCCCTAAAAAGGAAAAACCTTGGACTTAACTATGTGGCCAAATCTCTGGTGTTAGCCTGAGGCTGTAATCCCATCAACTGGCCTTTCACTGTGGCTACACCCAGTCTCCCAATTCTGTTACCCTAAACCTAGCCCTAGCTCTCCATTGTTGTACATCCCTATGGCCCCCAGCCACTTCCCACTCTTAATCTTATCTGGGCTCCATTCTCCCTTGGCCCTGGAATTCTATTACTCATAGACCACTCCCAAAGTCTTTCTGTACATAAGGTCCATCTTGTCTCCATTAAGGTGCTCATATTCTTATAATCTAGCCAATAGTTTTACTAATGTTCAGATTCCTTAAGAGTCTGCCTAATATGGGGGATCTTTAGTAAACCTTGTCTTTGGCTGAAAGAAGGCTTGGGTCGAATTCATGTAGGCAGGACCCACATGTTGTGATTTTGGGGTGCCAGTACCCCTAAACCTCAACAGTTAGTAGTTTACATTTCTTCTTTTGAGAGCTTTGTCTTATCTTTTGATCTCTTATCTACAAGAGAATGGCTCAAATATTATTAATTTGTGTCAGTTACCTGTAGATTTTGTCTTTCATCAGAGATTTTTTTTGTGCAAAGATTTTTCCACAATTTGTGATGTTTCTTCTTATCTTAGTTGCATTTGTATTATTTATGTAAGTTTTTTTTCTTTTTATATGATCAAAGTAGTCTGGGCTGTCTTTTGTAATGTTCCCTTTGTTATTGTTAGCTACAAATTCAGCGAGCATTTGGCTGCACTCTGAGACAGCTGAATTTAAGAACACTCTAGAGTACATTAGAGAAAGAAGGGGATTTCTCTTTCTCCCTTTTCACCCAGTGACATTGGCATCTTGCCACTGATACACACATGTCCATGTGGAGATGTGTGCTTGCATGCAACCTAAGGGGAAAATTCAAGGATGTTACTTCTTGAACAAAAAGAGAGACAACACCTGGTCAGGGGATCCTGCTCCTTGGGAGATGGCAGGGCTTAGAGACACAGGAGCAGAACTGGAGAAGCTTTCCACTGGTCCTAGGGCAAGAGTTCAAGTTCTTTCTGAAAAAAGCCTAGTGACTCCCTAGCTAAGAGCTTCAGCTTAGCCACAAGTGGTCAGTTAGAGAGGCTATGGCTGTCCAGCAGGGCAGTGGGCCCTGCAAAGAACAGGTCTGGTAAGTCCAGGGAAACTATGTGCACCACAGAGAGCAGGCCCAGTGAGCCTGATACAAGAACATGTATAGCCACTGTATCTTGCCCAGTGAGGAGGGCCCTGGGATCATCACCAGAGGATATCAAGGGCCTGGAAGCATTGGTGTATAAATTGCCTGTCCTCAAATTTTAATCCCTTGTGGTCCACTCATGAATGATCTTGATGCAGTTTATGGGTTCAGGGGTGCTGGGACCCCAAAATCACAACACGCAGGTCCTGTCAGAAAGAATTCGAGAGTCTGAACATCAGTAAACTATTGGCTAGATTATAAGAAATCTGAGCAGCGTCTAGATTATAAGAATCAGAGCACTTTAATGGAGACAAGATGGACCATAGATACAGAAAAACTGTGGGAGGGATCTAGGAGTGGCCAGCAAGCTGGGGTGAACAGAACTCCTGGGACCTGGACCAGGTGGCCAAGGGAGAATGGAGCCTTAAGGGTAGGAAATAGCCAGGGGCCATACATAGAGGTAAAACAATGGAGGGGAGATTGGTTATAGCCACAGTGAAAGGCTAGTTGAAGGGATTATATATAGCCTCAGGAAAACACCAGAGATTTGGCCCTGTGGGAAAGTCCAGGGTTTTTCCTTTCTGGGGCCCAGATCCCAAAGCCATCATTCTCACTCACTCTCAACGATGATGTCTATGTTCCCAGTAGCATGTTACCCTAGGGTGAAGAATGCTCCACTATTATTCTAGTAAATGTCCTACTACCTTCAGGATCAAATATAAAATTATGTTTGGCTTTTAAAGACCTTTGCAACGTGGCCCCTTCCTACCTTTCTAGTCTTATACTTTATTGTCCTTATAACTCCATCTCTGTGTTGAGGTTTAGGGGTACAGGTGTTCTTTGACCCCAGAATCACAACATAAAGGTCCTGTCCGAAAGAATTCGACCCAAGCCTTCTTTTAGCCAAAGACAAGGTTTATTAGAACATCCGTTATATTGGGCAGACTCTTAAGGAATCTGAATGTTAGTGAACTATTGGCTAGATTTTAAGAATCTGAGCAGAGGCTAGATTAAAAGAATCTGAGCATCTTAATGGAGATAAGGTGAACCTTATATACAGAAAGACTATGGGAGGGACCCAGGAGTGGCCAAGTAGTTTGGGGTGACTGGAGGAGGGGTCTAAGGAAGATCTGAATGGGAGTGGCCAGTAAGCGGGGTGAACAGAACTTCTGGGACCTGGACCATGTGGCCAAGAGAGAATGGAGCTTAGTTAAGATGAAGAGTGGGAAATGGCCAAGGGCCATAGGGAGGTAAAACAAAGGAAGACCAGGCTAGGTTAAGGGTAACAGAGATTGGGTTTAGCCACAACAGGCCAGTTCATGGGATTATAGCCTCAGGCAAATGCTAGAGATTTGGTCATGTGGGAAAGTCCAGGGTTTTTCCCTTTTGGGGTCCAGATCCCATCCTCATCATCTGGACTCCAAGCCTTTTTACTGGCTGCCACCATGGGTGGAATATTTTCCCTCCTCATCTTTACTTCTTGCCCTCCTTCAAGGCTGAGCTCAAATTCTACCTTTTGCAAGAATCCTTTAACAATTTCATACACTGCTAGTGCCTGGTCAGAGATTACCTATCATTTATATTATGTATACTGTGTATGTACAGTTTTTTTTGCATGAATGTGATTGCCTTTTCAGTGGTTATCTTTCATGCCTGGAATGCTCTCCCTACAAAAATACACCTAGTGGCTCCCTTACCTTCCTTCAGAACTCATGTCAAATCTGAACTTTTGCAGGAGGCTTTTCCCAGTTCCCAATTTCTGTTGCCTTCAATAGACATTACAGATCTTTTACATACATAGTAGTTTGCATGTTAAGTCCTCCAATGGAATGAGAGCTCCTTGAGGGCTGGGACTGTGTTTAGCCTTTTATTCCCAGTGCTTAGTACAATTCGTCCAAAATAGTAAGCTCTTAATAAATGTTAGTCGACTGCCCACACCAAAGACAGAACCTGGGATTGTATTTGTTATCTTTAAAATATATATTTTTTATCAACTTTCTTGCATATTTATGAGTGTGGTTTAGGAATCACTTTTCTATACCTTTCTCCTCTCCTCACCTCCTCAACTTTAAGAAGTATTTTACTTTTCTCTTACCTCTTCCCATCACCTGTCCAAGGCCCAGTTCGTCCTTTTCAAGTTCTTTTTTTCAAATTCCAAACCTTTGTTATTTCACCTTCTATCAGGTGAAATATTACACCATCTATAAAATATACCTCAGAAGCTCCAACATTCTTAATCACCTCCTTACAGTTAGTTAAATGACTTATCTTTTATAACTTAATTGCATTCAATCTAGATTACCTTTAAAAACATTTTAATTTGCTTGACCTCTTTGGATGTTTGGATTTCTTCAGAAATCTAAGAACATTTCTGACCTCATTGGAGGGTTTTTTTTTTCCATTTTGCAGGATAGGTTACCTTGGGGTACTACCCAGTTTCCCTTTGCTTTTTGAGACACCGGGGTCATAAACACGTCTAGAACTGCTGCTATAGAGCTCTAACGGGGGTCTTTCCATTCTAATATACTTACTCAGCTATCTGACACTAGGCAAGTCACTCTCTTAAGAGTCGCGTTTCCTCATTTGTAAAATGAATAACCACAGAGTTGTGGGATCACGTTACCTACTATTATTAAATTTCTTCTCTTAATTAGTCTTATTCAATTTGCTGGAGAGGGGGATAGGCTCGGGGTGGGGTGGGATTGAAGTAAGACATGTCTCTGTCCCCAAGGAACTCACATTACAATCTGGGTGTGGGGAAAACTATATAACGTGGTACTTGCCTAAGTTGATGTATAATAAAGTAGCATGTAATGTCATAGGATCAAAGATTTAGAGGTGATGAAGAAATAAGCTTGCCCAAGGTCACAAAAATATGACAATAATATTCAACACCTACTCTGTGCAAGACACAATTTGGAAAACGAAAAACAATCTAAGAAGTGAATGGTCGAGCAGGAAGTCAAATCCTTATCTTCTGACTCATAAGACTTTACTGAGGAGGTGGTATTTGCTTTGAACTTTCAAAGAGAGAAAAAACCCAAACGTTAGAAATGTATTTTTATTTCATTTTTTACCCGTCAAAAAAGAGCCAGGGGGCTGGGTTTTTAATCGTTTTCATGACCTTCCACTTTCTCATCTCTGATGCCTTTTCAGAGGTATAGAGATGCCACGTTCCTGTTACACAAGTTTCCTGTTCCAGAAGCTAAGCTTTCAAAGATGACGTGTCCTTATTGCAAAAGGTCAGCGACGAGGCCAAGAAGGCCTCTATGACGGGGCTCCATCATTTCATCGGGTGGGCTCCCCGAGCAGATGTGGTCCACCTGAAACAGACCTACTACTCTCCTCAGCTCGGCCCCAACGCAAACACCCCCTAGGCACTCGCGCTCCAACTCATCACCCCGCGCCTGACGGGAAGGGGCGGGACGATTAGAAAGGAGTGACGGGTCCCCGCCCAACGAGCTACAGGAGGCCGTAGGAGGGCGCCCCGGGACGTGACTGAGAAGCACCAATCAGGAGGGAGGGCGGGGCGCGAGCTGGAGGGCAGAGGCGTTTGCCAGCCGTGTCACTATCGACGCCGCCTGGGCTGGAACCCAGCCGCCACCTGCGTCGCTCCGCCGCCAGCGAGAGAAGGGGCTGCTCGAGGAGGAGCGCGGAAGGCACCGAGGCTGGCTCGAGCTGCGGCAGGGGAGCGGGGCGAGGGTACCAAAGCTGCGGCACGCTTCCTCTCGACCCGCTGTCCTGAATGGCGAGAGCGCGGAGCACCGAGAGCCGGGTCTCCTAGCGGCCGGGGAGCTGCCGCTGAAGAGGAGAATGGGCCGCGCCGGGGTGGCGTGGGGCCGCTGAGTACTGCTGCGGCTCCGTTGCCTTCGGACTCGGGACGGCCCCGGCCCCAGCCCCCACCTCCCGCCGGGCCAGGGATGAGTTAGCCCGGGGGACTGCGGGGGCTTGGCTGCTGCTACGAGCGGGGACTAGGGCGGGCTAGCGCGCCTGCCGAAGCCAAGGCTCCACGCTGCCGGACGCCGCTAGCTAGCCCGCTCCCTCCTCCCCGACCCGCGGCCCCGGAGACCATGAGGTTCCGCATCTACAAGCGGAAGGTGCTGATTCTGACGCTGGTGGTGGCCGCCTGCGGCTTCGTCTTCTGGAACAGCAACGGGCGGCAGCGGAAGAATGAGGCCTTCGCCGGCTCGGCGCCCGCCCCGGCGCGGGCTGCAGGCCCCGCGAGCTCCGCAGGTTCCCCAACGGCACGGCCGCCCCGCCGCCCGAGGTGGACAACATGACGCTGGTGTACCGGTCGCTGGTGTACCAGGTGAACTTCGACCAGACGCTGAGGAACGCGGCGGGGGGGGCGGGGGCCGGAGGCGGCGGCGGCGCTGCCGGGGGCCCCGCGCCGCTGGAGCCGGAGCTCGTGCTGGTGGTCCAGGTGCACAACCGGCCCGACTACCTCAAGCTGCTGCTGGACTCGCTCCGCAGGGTCCAGGGCATCGGCAACCTCTTAGTCATCTTTAGCCACGATTTTTGGTCGGCCGAGATCAATCAGCTGATCGCCGGGGTGGATTTCTGCCCCGTGCTGCAGGTCTTCTTCCCCTTCAGCATCCAGCTGTACCCCAACGAGTTCCCCGGCAACGACCCCAAAGATTGTCCCCGAGACCTGCAGAAGAAAGCGGCTTTGAAAATGGGCTGCATCAATGCGGAATATCCGGACTCCTTCGGCCATTACCGAGAGGCCAAGTTTTCTCAAACCAAGCATCACTGGTGGTGGAAGCTGCATTTTGTTTGGGAGAGGGTCAAGATTCTCCGGGACTATGCCGGTCTCATGGTTTTTCTGGAGGAGGATCATTACCTAGCCCCAGACTTTTTTCACGTGCTCAAAAAAATGTGGAAATTGAAACCTCAGGAGTGCCCCGAGTGTGACGTGCTCTCCCTGGGCTCCTATTCTGTCAGTCGCAGTTTCTTCGGCAAAGCGGACAAGGTAGAAGTGAAAACTTGGAAATCCACAGAGCACAATATGGGCCTAGTGTTGACTCGAGATACATATCATAAACTGATGGAGTGCACAGACACTTTCTGTACCTACGATGATTATAACTGGGACTGGACTCTTCAGTATTTGACTACAACTTGTCTTAAAAATTTCTGGAAAGTCATGGTTCCTGAAGTTCCTAGGATTTATCATGCTGGAGACTGTGGTATGCACCACAAGGAACCCTGTAGACCATCCACCCAGAGTGCCCAAATTGAATTGCTCTTAAACAAAAACAAACAGTATCTGTTTCCTAAGACTCTAAGTATCATTAAAAAGTACACTATGGCTCCTCTCCTTCCACATGGGAAAAATGGAGGGTGGGGAGATATTAGGGACCACGAACTCTGTAAAAGTTATAGAAGACTGCAGTGAAAACTGCACAAATAAAAATGAGTTTTTAAAATTTGGATCGTATTGTTCTGAAGGACACAAAACTGTGTAAAGCTGATTTAGGAATTGGTTTCTGCTTTAATACAAATAAACATTCTTGTCAAAAGTGTTAAAAAGAATAGTAATCTTTTTTAAAATTCCAACTGCAAAAGGTAACATCAGTTGAAAATTGGAAGGGCTGAGGAATACAGAAAACATTAAAATTCATCTATTACAAATTTATCTGGATCTTTATATACTTTTGCACTTTGAAAACATCTTTTAAAACTGAAATTCATTTTTTAAATTATAAGAAAACAGCAAAATTATTGCTGGGTACTGGTTTTATAATCCAGATATTAAATACCTTCTCAAAGAACAGTTATTTTCAGAATGGCAGATATCTATACCTAAGGTTATGTGAAGACCTGCCTGCACAGAACGACCTGTCTTTTGGTATGTATTTGATACGGAAAGCTTAAATATTTCTACTTTAGTGTAGAAATACCTGGGTTTTGTTATCTTTCTTTTATGTCAAAATAAAAATCTACATTTTTGCATATAGGAATCCTTAAATTATTTTTAGGTCAATTTTATTATAACCTCAGTGCCAAAATTTAGTTGATAAAAATGTTTTGAAAGGTCTTTTTATTTTAAAAATCTGACGTTAATTCTTTAGAAAACAAATGGAGTAGTAGAAAGAACACTAGACTTGGAATCAGAGGACCTGGATTTGTGTGGCCTGGCCACTGTGCAGTCTCTGAGCCTCAATATCTTCATCTGTAAAATGAGGAAAGGTATATTACCTCCCTCATAGGGTGGCTGGTAAGATCAAATGAGCATGTGCACGGGAGCTGGAATTGCTAGCTACTAAGAATGTGTAATTTAGTAATTCTCAAATTTCAAATAATGCATCCTTCCCCAATGAGAGTACCAATGAAATTGTCCCCTTTTGGAAGAAAACATTAACTTTCAAATCACCAAACCACAGAAAATGAATAAAAAAGAGTTTAATGGGAAGGAAACCTAAATTTAATCTCAAAGTTATAAGACAATGGTACTGACACTTGTTACATGAAACATTTGCTCCTGACAGTTTTAAAACTGGAATTACATTTTTTAAAATGACAGAATAGGAACATGAAGCTTACTTAAAATATTTATATATAGAGTAGTTAATAATAGTATAAATTTTATACAACTGCAGTCAACTAAAAAAATTATAGATTCCTTACAAAGAAAATTATAGCAAATTCACTAAGAATTAATGATATGGATTTTAAGTCTTATCACATTCCATCCAGCTGAGGAGAAACCTCACACCCCTAGAGATCATACTAGTTCTGGTTTGCTAGCTCTTGCAGGTCTGACCTGGAATTCTTACTCCAAAGTTTTGAGTAGCCCAGATCAGTTTTCTGGGTTTTTCAACGATTCAAGGGGTCAGCCCCTGTATAGTGCAAAAAGTAGACTCATCTCTGGACTTGGGGTTAGCCAGCAAATAAATACTTCACTTTTTAACTTTTGTTGTTCCATTAATTTTTTACTAGGAGAGGGTCCCAGGCTTCCGAGACTCGTGTGAATTAATTATTGTTCGGCTAAAAAGTTTTACTTGCCCTTTTGACTGATGATACTAGACTATATTGCAGGGGATTGAATATTTTTTTCATTTCTGACTTGTTTTTCTCCTATTCAGGAGGCATGAGAAATTTACTTTAAATTATCAAATAGGAAAATGCAAAATGAATTTTTTGTAATTAATTACCCAAACTATGTAGTTTTGTTCTCTGGGATATATAACAGAAAATTTTCCTTACTTTTAAGATTTTTCTTCAAAAAAGTCACTTATATGAAACCAAAAGACACATCTTAATACTTGAGTAATATAGTCTAAGAAACACCAGTGAATTCTTGAAGTAATTGTTAATTAGGAAAACTGTGTCTCTTGGATATCCTATTATGTATGGTAAGGCAAAGAACAAATATTTTCAGAGCTGAAGCAAAAATACTTAATACTATTTTGCCCTAGAAATACTTTATCTGAATTTGATGAATGTCAGTGGGGTTCATTTTATTCCTTCTGAGCTTTTAGAACAGAAAATTCTTGTATATAATGCAAGTCTAGAATAATTTGATAAAATCTAATTTAAAACCCTTGTCACAATTTCAGAATCTTGACCTATGTATTGCTAGTTGATGCCTACCCTCTTGAGAACTCTTTAATGAATAACAAACATTCCAATTTTATTAATATTTCAAGACAAAATAATGGTCAACAATAAGAGGTACAACAAAAGGAAAAAATATGGTGTTAAGCTTTACTTTTAAAATTTAGAGTGCTCATAATTTAGAAAAAAAGTTAAGGGGAATTGGTAAATCAATTTCCTTCATGTTATCAGTATCTGATTGTAAAATATTAATTGAAAAATTGATGTAATGTAGCTAAAGGTTCAAACTCAGCTTATATAATTAATTTAAAAATTTATCTCTGAAAGTAATCAGGTAAATGATTTACTATTTACTGGTTTCTTCCAGACTCTGAATTTGAAGTAAATTTAGACATGGACACTATCTCTATTTTAAATCTAAGGACTTTAACTGAATTTAATTTGACTTTGACTTGAATTTGACAAATTAAAATCTCCAAATTAATCCAAGTCATATAACAAAGAATTTTGAAAAGTGAATGCACAGTCAGTCACATGGTCTTTAATAATCTGTACCTTTCCATCCTTCATATTGGTTTCTTTTATACTTTGAAGTATGTGATCTTCATCCCGTTCTTTCTTTTCCATCAATGCTGGTGATTTTATATTTTGTTTTTCATTATTTGAATAAACATCAATTTTTTCTTTTGTGAAACTGGATTTGGACACTGAGTCTGGTTGTTGAGATTTCCCAAGAACCTCTGTAGAAGCACTTGGAGGTTCATGTTGCAGGCAGGGAGCTGACCCACAGCTGCTCTTTTTTAGTGCTTTATCTGTTGTATAAGAATCAGAAGGTTTGGTGTTTCCTTTTGAATGTTCTTTTTCAACATCAGTTGCATTGCTACTGTTTTTTGTATTTGTTTGAAGTATATTTCCTTTTTCAGTCAGATCGCTTCTTATATTAAATCTTAGTTCCTTTTCATTAAGCTGATCTTGGCCATCTACTTCTTGTGACTGTCAAGAGAAATAAAAGAACTGCTCTTTGAAACAAAAACCAATTAAATAGTAGGGCTCTGTTAAAATGACTAAATATTAAAACATATAAGTCATCTCTAAAAGAATACATTCATTACCATAAATTCTGTGTGTCAAAGAAATCAGAAGATTTAGACCTGGATTGGCAATAAATTATTTCTGTAACAATCTATTAGATGTGTAATCTAATAACCTCCAACTCTGTAGATGCCAGCCCATCCAGGCCTGCCAATCGCCTTGCTACTTTTGACTATGTCTTCTCATAACTTTGCAATAAGGGGTATACTAAAGGGGGGGGGAGCCTCGCGCTGGCCTTTTCTTGAATTCTCTTGACAATACAATACCAAAGGGAGCACAAAGGCAAAAAACAAAACACAAAAACTGCATCAATGTGTGAGGACTAGTTTAGGCAATAAGAGGCTCCAGCTTCAGCAGCCAGCCTTCCCAGTTACTATCTCTTCTAGATCTCCAGGCTCTGGAGCTGGTTTCAATTTTACTGCTGCCTTAAGTACACTATTCCTTAATCTGTATTGAAGAACGTTATCTTCCTATTTCTTATCCCCTTTTTTGAAGTTGTAATAATCTTCTATTTTACTTAAATATGTAAACATGAAAATAATTATTTTTCTTACTACTTCTAAAAAACAAAAGCCCCACAAACAAATAGGATCTAGTCATAATTAAAAAAGATATAGACACACTAAGTACTCCCTTCAGTTTGGGGAGCAGTTTACTCACACAATTTCACTTAAATATTTAAAGAGGTTAATATTACTAAGAAATTAAGATAAACCAAAGGAGGCAAGAAAAATACATGAAAGCTTACCATGTGAGATGAACTGTTATAAGCAAGACAAGCTCTATTATGTACAAGTTTCTAAATTGGTTTGGATCCTAAACAAAGATACACAGAATTCTAGCATGAAGTAGGTTTTAGTTGCACAGCTTCCAAGATAAGTAGAATCTTGAGACTTTCCCAGAACCTCCCTGTGTTATTTCCAGGTGTAAACTGCTCAGGTCAACATCTCTAAGCCCTCGTTATGTTGCACTTACATTCTTTGACTACTCTTGGCCTTTAAGAATTATTGTTTTGTTCTTAGAAACCTGAATGAAACAATTTTTGGAGGAACTTTCCAATACAGCTTCTAAAAGTTTCTTCCTCTAGGAATAGATGAAACTCCACAGTCATTCTTGGAAATTCCATGCCTATGGACTCTGGCCCCCAGAATCCTTACCTTTTCTCGTTTTATTCTGACCATATTTGCATATTTTCTCTGAAGTCTATTTGTATTGCAATTAAAAAAAAGCCAACAATCCATGTTACCTTTTGTGCTGTCCGCGGTTTGCTATCTGAGGGATACTTCTGGCTCTTAGCTAATCTGCAGAAATGTCTGATGTCTCCTGAAGTGTTAAAATATCCTGAGCTCAATGAATGAATGATAAAGCTAGCTTAGGTTACCAGCCTCATTCACTGAATTCAACCAGGTCTTTTTAATAACTCATTCTTTTTTTTGGAACCTTATGATATAATTTTGCAACATCAAAAATACTTTTAGGAAACATTAAAAGCGACAGACATAATTCTCATAATCACTAAATGGTTTAACTGTCTAATGCTGAAAACAAAAATAGCAAAATATAACAACTGTCTAAACAATTACTTTCATTTCACAACATTCAGCCTACTCAATCAAGACCTCTGTGATACTGCACCATTATTGGTGAGGAGTGGTCTATTACTGTTTACATGCGCATGGCATTTTCTTGTTGTGCATTCAACAACCTAGTTAATAGGAAAGTGTGTTGGAACAGAGAAAGATGTCAGTTGTCTACTGATCCTAGAAGTGTCTGATATCTCAGTTCTGCTAACAAGTTAGGAATAGAAAACAGATTTACAACAGGGTTGGGGTTGAAGCTCAGGGAAGCTGGAATCCTAAAGGCAACATTTCTTCCTTCTAGATCACAAGCACTCTGGAGAAGAGAGGGATCATTATAGTTAAGTCAGTTAAGAGAAACAGTTGAAGAAGCCAGCACTTTGCTGTTAGGATGCAGGCAGTCTATAAAGACTATAAAGTCTGACTTATGTCAGACTAATGAATTTATTCCAGGCAAACCACTCAGGAAAGGGATCGCAGGTCAATGTAAGACAAAGATTTTAGAACCTAGAGGCACTGAGATTTCTAAAGCAAGAAAGCCTAAATCCCAGAGGAATAATTTTTGGAGGACAAATAGGGAAGGCTCTTTGCCTTTCAGACAGCAAAAGAAAAGGGACAGGGCTTCTATGGCTCATCATCAGTGGCACTAAGGTTGAGAGAGGTGACTGAAAAATCTTTTTTAGGTTTGGAAGCCCAGGAAAGGACTCACTGGGGAAGCAGAAGGGCAAGGAAACAGGTACCTCATAAACCTGAGGGGGGACATAAATTCTAAAAGGGCTAATACTAGAATATAAAAGGAATATCTTGTCTAAACTTTGTTTCCCCTCCAGGGTCTACAAACAGCAGGCATGTTTATCGTATCACATTAAAATCTGTGGCCAAAATGAAAGCTACCCTGGCTGAAAACCTAAAGCTTGATATAATTAAAAGTATGGATAGTATTAACTCTTAACAACAAAATCTAGAAAGGAAAGAGAAGGGAAGCTTAGAAAATTTAAGTTTAATTATCTTGTAGACTTAGCTTTTCTCAGCAATACAATGATCCAAGACAATTCCAAAAGACTCATGATGGAAAATGCTACCCACATTCAGAGAATCTGAATAGAGTCTGAATGAAGATCAAAGCATACTATTTTCACTTGTTTTTTCTTGTAGTTTTTCCTTTTGTTCACATGACTAATGTGAAAATATGTTTAATATGACTGTACATGTATAACTTATATGTGATTGCTTGCTGTCCTGGGGAGGGAGAGAGAAAAATTTGGAATTCAAAATTTTACAAAAATGAATGTTGAAAATTATCTTGACGTGTAATTGGGGAAAAATAAAAATACTATTAAGATTGTCAAAAAGTTTAATTATCTTTGTTTTGGATGTAAAAGCCCATCAAACTAAATATTAAGATCTATGTGGAGACCATAGGATTTTGATTAATTTGTTTAGCATCAGTTAAACACATCACCTTCTCCCCTGACTTTTCTAGAATGGGTCCACTTGGCAGGTAGATAAAATCCCTGACTTGGAATCAGGAAACCTCGGTTCCAAGTTTTGCCTCTTACACTCAATGGAAAGGAAACCCATTTCATCTTTCCCAGCTGCAGTTTTTCTCATCTGTAAAATGTAGTCCCCATCTTACAATGGGTGTTCTGAGGTTCAAATGAGTTAATATTTGTAAAGTTCTTTGCAAACTGACACATAAGTAAATTATAACATAATTTGTAGATAATTATAAGAAACTTGTTTATCACCTGTCATAAATCAAGTGTTTTCCCTGGAGGAAACCATCGATAAGATATTCTATTTAATTCTTTCTTAACATTGGGAGTCAACATAGTATCGAGTGGAATGAGAAACTGGACTGAAAGAGCCCTGGTTTGGGGCCTAACACTAATTTGCTGTATAAGATCTTCTACTCCTTCTGCCTCAGTTTCTTAATCTGCAAAATAAGGGAATTATACTAGATGACCCAAGGTCCCTTTGAAATTCCAGAATTCTATGACTCAGGAACCCAGATTCTAGGTCCAGTTCTAGCTTCTCCTGTACACCAGTGCCAAATTCTTTAGAAAGGCTTAAGGTGTATGAAACTCATGAATATTTCCCACTAATGTTGATCAGCAAGCAACAAGCATTTATTAAGCATCTACTGTATTCCAGGTGTACTATGCTAAGCAAGTTCCTTATAAAATAAATATTAATAAATCATTATTAAAATAACTAAAGAATTGTACATCTTTGTTTATCCTTTGTTCTGGTCTCCCACTGCATCCTGGAGCCATCTCCAGATAGTATTACTTTATAGTTATAGCATAAAGGATGATGCATTTTTCTTGTAAGTGAAATTTTTAAGCGTTAATTTTCATGTGTTTAGTTATTGGTTAAATATTGAATACATTAAAGGAGACTAAAAGGGCAAAAGTGGGATTGTTAGATTTTAAATACTTCACAAATCTCTCCTCTAGAGAGTTCACCAAAATTTTACCTTTAATTGAATTTGGGTCTTCTTATCACTAACTTCAAGTACTTCAATTAATGGCTGGGTTTTGGGGGCTGACTTATTGAAATTCAAGACGCCTTCAAGAAATTCATCAACATTTTCTTCGATGACAAAAAGCCTTTCCTAAAAATAGGGAAGAAAAGCAGTATTATGTTTAAATGTCCCTTTAGTGTTATTACATGAACCTTCATCTAACTTGTTTACCTTAGGTTTCTCATCTGTAAAATGAGGCTAATAAAGCATAAAGTACTTTGCAAACCTTAAAGTATTACCTAAAATGTTAGCTATTATTGTCCTGTTACACTGAAAACGCCTGTACCTAAAAGCTCACAAAGAGATAAATTTGAGATTCAGAGTGGGAGGGCAACTTTTAAAAATGTATAGCTTTAAAAAATACATATTCTTGTTATCCTTTTGTTTTTACATCATATAAAATCCTCAACGTATCTGTCTCCCTACTTTTCCCTTATAACAAGGAATAAAAAAGAGAAATGAATAATTCGGTAAAAGTAGCCAACACAAACACTTTCAGAAGAGGCGGGTATTTGGGTGGTTTGGATCAACTGCTTCCCTACTTGCCCTTTCTTTTTTGTTCTTTGTTGGTTCCTGGGCAGGGAAAATGCATACAAAGAAATGTTTCCAGGACCTGGGGGAGAGAAGCTTAGGGTATACAGGAAAAGGCATCAATAAAAATGAAGCAGAATACATGTTATTCCAAAGGTACCCATGCAATAGACCTTTTCTGTCTAATTTCCTATTACCCCTCTCCATGCAGTTTTCCTTTCCAGTCAAACCAGCGCTAGTCTCTCCCTGCCTCCACTCCACCTCTTCACCAGCTCCGACATTCCCCAACTTCTTACTTTACTTCCCTACACAAACTGTAATCCAGTTAATGTAAACCATTAACATCTCAACTATTCAAGATAAGCGGCCCAATGCTCAAAGTTCTGAATCAACCCAAGTTTGGAATCCATTTGATTGTATTACGAGATCCACATCTCCACATTTTCTCCACGAGAACAGTATTAGAGGCCTTAGCAAAAGTTTTGTTAAATTCTAAGACAACTTTACTTTTTCAACTAGTTCAGTAATCTCGTCAAGGAAGACAGTGAGTTTAGTCGGTCTAGGCCTTTTCTAGGAGCTGGCTCTTTGTAATCACCACTTGCCTTTCTAATGTGTTCTTTAACCACTGGTTTAACGATACATTCTAGACTTTTTCCAGGTATCAAAGGGAAATTCACTGGCCTATAGGTGATAGCCTTTGTTCTCCTTTTTGTGCTCTTTTATATTCATGTGCTATGCCCCTTCTGTTTTTTCCCCTCCAGACCCACTGATTAATCTGCTTACCTTACACACCTCAAAGTCCCACTGCCATATGAAACTCAACATATCTAGAACAGAATTAATTATCTTTCCCCAAAGCTGCTTGTCCTTCTAACTTCACTGTCTCTGTGGTACCACTATTTTTCTAGTATGCCATGATTTAACTCTTTCCAATCCCTTTACCTGGGATTATTCACACACACCATTCTCCTCTCCTATCCAAATATTTACTAAATCCAGCTTCAGTCCTCAATATATGTACCCTCCTTTTTGTTTGTTTGTTTGTTCTTTTTTGCATTTTTGGTAAGGCAATTGGGGTTAAGTGAGTCACACAGCTAGTAAGTGTCAAGTGTCTGAGGTCGCATTTGAACTCAGGTCCTCCTGACTTCAAGGCTAGAGCTCTATCCACTGTGCTACCTCGATGCCCCGGTATCCTCCTTTTTATTCCCACTGCCACTGCCCTAAGATAGGTCCTCATTATCACCAATCTGGACTATTATTACAGTTCAGTCATTCCACTTCTACTCCCTCACTTTTTATTCATCTTTCATATAAATATCAGAACCTTTCTATCTCTAATGCACAGCTCTAGTCATGTTTCTCCTTGGCTCAAAAACATTCAGTAGCTTTCTACATGTCTATCAAATAAAATTAAAACCCTTGCGTCCAATAATAGAGTTCACATTTAGGGGATGGTTTTCCAGTTCAACAAAGTGCTTTACAAACATTAGATCTCACTGGATCTTTTTCAGCTGACATCTAGAGGCTCAGCTCTTGTCACAGACGAATTTAAATGTAGGAGACAGGTCTCTAGTGACTCCAAATCCATTATATGCTGTCTTTTAAGGACATCTATAATATGGTACCCCCCCATTTTCCAGCCTTTCCTGCATTATTCCCCACCATGATCAAGTTAGATTCTCTGGGCTATTCAACCACTCCCATGCCTTTGCTCCTTTATGTTTGGAATGTCCTTCCTTTCATTTTCCTTTTCTGAATCTCTATTCATCGTTTAAAATCCAGTTCAAATGCCATCTCGTCACAAAGTGGAGGGGGCGGGAGGAAGAGACTGTTTTTGCCTATTTGTTTTTGCCTTTCTTTGTACCTCCAGTGCTTAGCAGAGTGCTATGGAACATATCAGACACTTAAATGCTTGTTGACTTCACTCTATCTACTGATACATGGGTACAGTACATGGGTACTCTCAGTAAAGAATTAGGTTTACTTATTGTTACATTTATTGAATAGTTTTATGTTATAACTAATTGTAAAAGTGCATGAGTGGAATATTTCATCATTCTTTCTAAAAAATAGTTAAGTTGATTTCTACTTACAGTAATGGAAAAAGCTCTAGACTTAGCATCAGATGACCTGGCTTTGAATTCCAGCTATTAGTTACTAACCTATCTTGGACAAGGGCAAGTCACAATTTCCCTGGGCCTCTGCCTGTTTCCTCATTTGTAAATTGTAGGCCTTGGACTAGATTTATAAATTCTATGACTCAGGAAGAGAAAGTGAGGCTGATCACTTTAAAAACTCTGCCTCACTTAAATCCAATTCACCTGCAAGTCAAGACATCACCAGTGATATCACTGATCCTCTTGGAAAAGAAAGGTCTAAGAACAACAACGAAAGACAGTCAATTAACTTATTTATCTCCAGAAAGTCATTTTATGTACTTAATATCTAAGATTCAAACCAGAAGTTTTATGCTTAAAAGACTAGAATCCTTTCCCCTTAATTAACCCTGAAGATGAGATTTTCAAAATATAGGTACACTGATTCAATTCCTCCCCTCCTGCTTTATTATAAATATATTCTTTGGGGATATATTCTTTGCTTTCAGCTCTCTGTTTAGTTCAGTTTTGTTCATGTTCGATAGACAGTTAAAAAAACTATGTAAACCATAAAAAAAAAGGTACATTGACATTCTCCATAATTTGTATTTTACAGATTTGACTCTACATCATTAAAAAAAATTTCAGAATGAAAAGATGCACTTAAGGTACAATGGAAATGCATGCTAATTTTGAAAAATGGGATTTAAGAAAAATTATGAAGTAAAAAAGAAGACTGTTACCTGCAAACAGTTATTGTTCAAACCAAAATACCATTTTCTCCAGTGCCCATAACTCTCTGGAGATTTGGCCAATTCTATCACTGTATTGAATGAAGAAATACTAATTTTCTGTTCTTTCATGCTCAACTTATTTTCAGAAGCAAATTGCAAAATGAATGAATAAGAAACAAAATCTTGTGTGGAAAAGCAGAGTTTGTATTGATGGGGACTTAAATCACTCTGAAGGCTTTGTGGCTGGACTTGAGGCACTTGGATTAACAAAGTAAGAGATTCTTCATCTTGCTTGCACTGCAAAGGAGGGCACAAGGGTTTCCCTCTATTAGTCTCTGAAATGTTAACTGTTTCTCTAGGTTCAACTTTATTTGTATTCTCTGGAAGGCTTTCATTTCCAATAGCTGTTTTCTCCTTGGGTTCTCCTGGTGAACCTGTATTCTCCGGAAAGCTCGGTGCCCCAGAGGATGGTACCTCATGACTGCCTCCAGACAAGGCAGGCTCCTCTCCTCCAGTGCCATTTGATAGATTTGTTTTACTAATAAGTGGCTGCCCTAAAGTACCTGGTGGACCTGCATTCTCTGGTAAACTCAGTGCTCCAGAGGGTGGCATTTCATTACTGCCCTCAGGCAAGGCCACAGTCCCTGCAGGAAGATCCTCTTCTCCAGTACAACTTGGTGGATCTGCTTTAATGACAAGTGACAGCCCCGAAGTATTTGGGGGAATGGCCACCATCCCAGTAGCCTGGTCCTGCGTGGTACCCTCCTGAAGGTCCATCATTTCTTCACCAGCCAAAGCCCAGGAATTCTCAGACCGAGACTGGAAAGGAATGAGGGCATCTGAACGGATTTCTTGGCTCCAATTCTTAAACATCCTAGTATCCCTTAAGGGCTTGTCAGACTGGCCTCCTGACTCCTCTGAAGTGTAAACCACAGACCAAGAGCCATCCGTTTCCGGCATGCCTTTGGCTGCTAAAGGCTCCTCCGTCAACTCCTCTGCCCCTTCTTGCTTCAGAAGACCCTTTATCGAAGTAGCGACCTGGCCGGCTCTCTCCACCTTTTTCTCCTCCTCTTTTTCCTCTTTCTCCAATTCCTCCGCCTCCTTTTTCTCTTCCTCTTCCCTTTTCTTCTCTTCTTCTGTCTCCTCCTCCTCCACTTCTTTTTTCTCCTCCCGCGGGCCCAGGTGCTCCATGCTGTGCTTCGGCACCACTACCGGCAAGGTAACGACCAGCTGCCGCTTGGCCTTGTTGAACTGAGCACTGCCTTGGCTCTCGTCCACCGCATAGGGAAGCGGGAGGCGGAGCCTGTAGTCGGGTTTGCGGGAGTCGAGCGACAGCTGCTTCTCAGTCACCTCCAAGGCAGCTTGTCCGGCGGAGCGCAGCAGCGGCAGCTCGATGGTAACTACCAGCTCCCTGGGCACTGTGCTCGGGCAGGAGTCCCGGGAGCATCGGTAATCCTGCAGGTCCACGTGGTGTCGTTGCACAAGGCTGTGACGCGGCACGGTGGGGGCCGGGTCTGGAGGCTCCTCCCGGGAAGGCCCGGGGCCCCTGGACTGCAGGGCCGGAGGCTTCTTTGCCACTTCGGGGTAGGGGTAGGGGTAGGGGAAGGCGGGCAGAGAGTCGTCCCCCGGCTCCTCCCCCTCGGGCGCCGGCGGGGGGCCGCCGGGGAGGGGCGTGCGCAGCACCGCCGCCTCCGGCGTGCCTTTGTATTGGATCCTCAGGGTCTGGGCGTTGCGCTTATCCAGTTTCACGCCGAACTGCTTCTCCACGGCCTCCAGGGCGGTGGCATCGATCATGGTCCGGAACCGCTCGTGGCGCTTGCCCAGCGACAGAGCGTCGGGGTGGAAGATGACGTCGTAGACCTTGTAGCGGGTGCCCCGGCGGCCCATGTACTCGCGGCCCGGAGCCAGGCTGTAAGGCAGGGACCAGAGCTGCCCCCGCGAGGAGCCCTGCGGGCCCCCGGGCCCGGGCTGCCGGCGGGGCCGGCCCAGCAGCGCGTTGCTGCAGACGTTGACGAAGCATCGCTGGGCTCCGTTGAGGCTGGTGCGCAGCACGTGGCCCGGCGCCGGGTGCACGAACTGCACCTTCACGCCGCGCTCCCGCTCCAGCGCCGTAATCTCTTCTTCGTAGCGCCGCCGGTTCGCTGGATCCGCCAGCTCCGCCGCGTACTCGCCGAAGAGCCGCCGGAACTCTGGGTCTTCGAAGGCGCTGGTGAGCTTCCTCACCTCCTCGGCGCTCAGGTCCAGGTCCTGAAGCAGCGAAGCGGGGCTCTCGGAGGCCATGGTCTCTCTAGGGACGGGGGAGGAATCCTCCCCTCGCCTGCGGGCCCGGCCCGACTGGCGGATGAGACGGCTTAAGAGGGTTACCAAGGAGACGGCGGCTGGTTGGCAACCGAAGGGGGGGAGCGGGCGCGTGGCTGTTGTCATGGGGATGAGTGACTTCGGTGCCTAAACATTGCGGGTGGGGAGAGCGGGCAGGAGGAGCCAGAGTTTGAGTCCGAGGGTGGAGCGAAGGGGCAAGACGTGCGGGGGGAAATCGGAAGAGAGAAATCGTCGCCTCCCGGCTCTACCGGTGTCTCTGTCCAGCCACTCATTATTATTTTAATTCTAGAAATAGTCGCCTTTCGGCTCCACCGGAGTCTCCATCAAATCCACTATTTTTTAATTCTTAAAAAAAAAATGCGTAGAAAACTTAGCCAGCCTCAGGGTTGCTGTCGTGCAGGGGGAAAAATTTTTTATTTTTTGGACCTTGCCCCATACATTTGCATACTAGTCCGTCTTTAAATATACATTACGCGTTTACTGTGTGTTAGGCACTGTGTTATGCACTAGGGGTACCAAGAAAGCCGAAAAATGGTACCTGCCCTCAAGGAGTTAGCAGAATGATGGGGAGAAGACAACATATAAAAAGAAGCTGAAAAGGGGAGGAGAAGTGGGAGGGTGCTCAGAGGAGGGGCCTAAGGAAGGCTGGTGGGCAATTAGTAGATGGCTGCCCTGGGTCTTCTTAAATGGTGTGTCTGATTGAGCTCTTCTCAGCAATGCAAGGATCTAAGACCTCTCCAAAAGTCTCATGATGGAAAATGCTATCCGCATCCAGAGAAAGAACTATCGAGTTTGAATGCAGATTGAAGCATACTATTTGCTTTCTTTTTTCCTTCTGTTTTGTTTCTTCTTTCATGAAGTTACTCCTATTGGTCCTAATTCTTCTTTACAACATTACTAATGTGAAAATATATTTAATAGGAGTGTGTATGTAGAGCCTATATCAGATTGCATGCTGTCTTGGGGAAGGAGGTGGGGAGGGAGGGAGAGAAAATTTAAAACTCAAAAGCTTGTTGAAGTGAATGCTGAAAACTAAAAATAAATTAATAAAAACATTTTTTTTAAAATAAATCCACCTTCCACCCTCTCCAGTCAGAAAGAGGGAGGGGCTGCAGGGGCTGATTCTACTGTAGTGGAGGTGTGAGTTTCAGAGTTAGCTATCTTCCAGGAAGGCCAGTTTCTCTAGACAGTAGTAAAATAAATACGAGAGCAGTCAGGTGAGAATCTCTACCATTCATTAGTTTCCCCAAAATGCCATCTAGATTCAGATTTCACTGAAGTTCTAGTAGATAGCCTGTTGTCACTTTTGTGGCTTCAAAAATACAGAATTTCTGAGTCGAAAGGGATCTTATATAAAATCTAGTTCACTCATTTTTTTTCCTTATTTTTAAAAATTAATCTCTCCCTCCCCAAACCTCCTTCCTTTCCTCCAAACTGATCCAATTAAAAATTAATAATAATAAAAACCTTCAACATCCTCAATATATAGCTGTACCAAAACAAATTTCCACACTGACCAAGTCTTAAAATGTATTTCTCTGCATTTTAAGTTCATCACCTCTCTGGTAGGAGGTGAAGTAGAAGTGTTTCGTCTTTATTTTGTATTCATGGTTTATTGCTGTGTTGATCAGAGTGATTGTTCTCTGTAATTTATTGTATAAGCAGTTCTCATAGTTTCCCTCTCATTTTTACTACTTCAGGTTTGTTTGTGGAAAAACTTTTTAATTTTATTTAATCAAAATTGGCACTTTTATCCTATGTGATCCCCTCTATTCCTTGTTTAACCATGAACTCTTCCTAGTAATTTCTTCCTTGCTTCTTAATGTTTACCTTTTATATGTAAGCCACTCCCTTCATTTTCTTTTTTCTTTTTCTTGGAGGCAGTCGGGGTCAAGTGACTCGCCCAGGGTCACACAGCAAGTGTCTGAGGCCATATTTGAACTCAGGTCCTTCTGACTCTAGGGCTGGTGCTCTGTCCACTTAGAGACCTAGCTGCCCCTATTCCCTTTATTCTCCTTCCCTCTTCTTTACATCCCTGTTTCTGTGAAGGAAACACCTTCTAGTTCCCAGGTTTGAAATATCAAGAGTCATGCTCTTAAATTGTCTTTTACCTCCAATATCCAATCATTGGCCAGTTCTTATTGACTCACCTTACAAAACATTTCAAACATCTAGCTCTTTCACTCACAAATCTATCGCTCTCATTACTTCATTTTCTTAAATTGGAAAACACTGATCTCTTTTTATTCACAGCTTGAAATGAACACAGTATTACTTGGTTTAAAAAAAAACAAAAACCCATTTCTCAGATATTCAAAACTCATCCTACTTTTGCCCAGCATTGCCTTTGGTTGGGTTTTCTGGCATTGCCCTTAACCTGCCTTCCTGTCCCCTGGGAAGAAGCACTCCTGGGGGAGAGAGAGGAGGTATCAGATGCTTAGGCCAGGAACAGTCACTTTAGTCTTCTTGGGCAGTTTGGGGAAGTGGTTGAAGGAAGAGGTGAAGAAAAAAGAAGAGTTAAAAAATATGATTAGCTTTAAGTTTTTCCTCATCCCAATCCCGGTTGAAAAACTTGTTGGTTAGAACTGGTGGTCCTGCTGTCCATTGGAAGTGGGAACAGGCTTGGGATGGGTGAGAAGGGAAGTGTGGAGAGAAAGAGGATGAGTAGCAAAGATAGGACATACATAAGGAAGGTGAAGGCATTCAGCAGCTTCAGGTCACAGTGAAAAAACACTGTGTTAAAAGAGATCAGAGATTTTTGCTCCCCTCCCCCCCCATGGTGTCAGTTACATTTTTCTCATTTCAGGTGTGTCCAGTCAGGTGATTGGACCATCCACTCCATCCCTCATCCCCCAAGTTATGATTTTTTTTTTAAAGAAAAATGAAAGAAAGAATTTGGCACATTAAATGAATGAAACAGTCATATCTGCTTACTATATAAAAAAACACTGTGCTAAGATCATCTTTATTCTCAAGGAGTTTATGTTCTAATGGGGGAAATATAGCCAAGTGAACATCCTGCAAGGGAAGTGGTGGGGAGGGAGTGTGGGGTTGGGAGAGTGCAATAAGATAGTGGCATCAAATAATTGTTATTATTATCATTTTTTTTTGACTAGGCAGTGGAGTTAAGTGACTTGCCTAGGATCACACAGCTAGTAAGTGTTATGTGTCTGAGGCCAGATTTGAGCTCAGGTCCTCCTGAATCCAGGGCTGGTGCTCTATCTGCTGCACCACCTAGCTGCCCCTGGCATCAAATATTTACAGAACAGCTCGAGATAATTGCTTTAGGAAAAACAATATTAAAAATAAAGAAAAACAGTATGGATATTTACAGTTTATTGTTGGTGGTTTGTCTTTCATTCTCAGAGAGGACCAGTGACATCAGGAAGGTGATGTCCTGACTTGCAACTGAATTGGGTTTAAGTGAGGAAGGACTGTGCAAAGTCACCAGCCTCATTTTCTCCTGCAGAGCCATATTAGTCCAGTGGCAAGATATAAATCAGGAGAACTGGAGATGGTTCCGGATGCAGTTTATACGGGGTGGTGAATGAGTAAGCACTTCTCTTTTTTTCTCTTTCCTCTTCTCCTCCATTGGGTTCAAACATAGGGACCACATCACTGTTCCCAACTCAGTCCTTATCAAACAGGGAAATAGCTACCTTGGGCCCTACAACCTGCTCCTCAGTCCTCTGATAGAACGTGATGGACATCTGAGAAAGAGGAAAGGTGACCTAAGGGCTTCTGCAGCAGCAGGAAACAGGACTCAGGCCCAATCTGGTTTTGCCTCAAGAATCCACAAAGTGTTGTGGACACAGTACCCCCTTCTTATCTGCCCTATTGCAGATATTACTTAATTAATATTGCCTCCTGATTAAGATTCTTGCCTTCAAACTCATCCCTCTCTGTAGTCATCAAAGTGATATTCCCGAAGCACAGATCTGACTGTGACTTTCTTAAAAAGCTCCTACTGTCAGGGGCAGCTAGGTGGCGCAGTGGATAGAGCACGGGCCCTGAAGTCAGGAGGACCTGAGTTCAAATACGGCCTCAGACCAAACACTTGACACTTACTAGCTGTGTGACCCGGGGCAAGTCACTTAACCCCAACTGCCTTTAAAAAAAAAAAAGCAAGCTCCTACTGTCTCCAGAATCAGACAAATCCCATTGTTATTTTCAGGATTTTAATGGTAACTTTGTTATTCTGAACTTGACAAACAACAAATATTAATAAGCACTGTTATAATACTATGTTATATATTACTAAAAATAACTGTAACAAGTGCTTTGCAAATATCCCATTTGATCAGCATAATGTCTCTGGGAGTTAGGTGCTGTTATTTAACCTGACTTTACAGTTGAGGAAACTGAGGCCAAACCCAGGGCCCTGAACCCAAGAGCCCTGAAGGTAATGACATTAAAGATGAGGTATTAGCCTATTTTACCACTTCGCCCTAAGGATTTTTCCATCTAAAACCTTCCATATGTGTTGTCTCTTCAGTTAGAGCAAAGGTTCCCAAACTTATTTGTCCTATTGTACTCTCTAAAAATATATATTACTCAGTGCCGCCCCGGAAATCTACTTTCTTTAACCCTTTAACTTTTAAAAAAAATTTGCATCATTCAAAAAATTATTTTTTTAAATGATGCATCTTAAATTTAATAATTTATTTTAAATTTGTGGGGGTTTTTCCGGCGTTGAAATTTTTATGATGCAGTATTGCATGTAACCGTATAGAATCATGTTGTGAACAAGTCATTACACTTGACATAGTCCTGCTGACGAAAGCTGGACTTCCTGGCAATTCGATATGCTAGCCTTGCTTGTTAAGGCCTGTTGGCGGCCTTGACCACTGGCTGGTTATAGCTTGCATTTTGTGTGTTTATTTGTAAAATAATGTAATCACTATGACTTTAACTCTGTTAGACAACAGATGAAACATGTACTGTACAAAGTTTTTCAGAATTTTCTTTTCTTCTTTCCTTATGCTTCCACCACCCCTTATTATTATTCAGTGCCGAGTAATTGCACCAGGGGTTACTACTGACACCTCTACCCCCCACCACGGTTCCAGCACTCCTTGGGGGGGGGAGCCTCCCACTTTGGGAACCTGGGAGTTAGAACTCATTGAAAGCAGGGACCATGTTACTTTTTTATTTGTATCCCCAGCACTGTGCACATAGTAAGCACTTAATAAATCTTTAATTCGTTCATTCTTGTGTATCTGATCTTTGCCACAATCAACTTTTCATTTGTAGTTGGTATGAAGTAATTTCTACGATTACTCTTTCTTCCCACTTTTTTCATTACTTCCCTTAAGATTTTTGACCTTTTGCTTCTCCAGATGAATTTTTTTTTCTAGTTCTGTAAACTACTCTTTGGTAGTCTGGTATGGCTCAGAATGTGATTAATTTAGGTAGTGTCATTTTTTACTATCTTACTCAGGTATGATCATGAGCCGTTAATCCCTCCAGTTTTTTGTCATTGTTTCTGAATAATGTTTTGTAGTTGTGTTCATTATTTCTGTGCATTTCTTGCTGACTGAACTCCCAGATGTTTTATGCATAATATAGTTATTTTGAAAGCATTTGCTTTTCTATCTTTATGCTAGATTTTAATGGTAATATAGAGAGGTTGATTGTGTTTATTTTATATTCTGCTACTGTACTGATGCTCTTGTTTCAGGTAATTTTTTTTTAAGTGAGGCAATGGAGTTAAGTGACTTGCCCAAGGTCACACAGCTAGTAGGTGTCAAGCGTTTGGTCTGAGGCCAGATTTGACCTCGGGGCCTCCTGACTCCAGGGCTGGTGCTCTAATCACTGTGCCACCTCGCTGACCCTGTTTCAGGTAATTTTTAGTTGATTCATTAAGTGTATGTGACCTGCAAAACGTGATGTTTTCTTCTCACAAATGCTAATTTCCCATTTCTTTTTCTTGTCTTATTGCTGTAACTAGCACTTAAACTCTTCATAACTTGCCTCCTTTCTACCTTTCCAGTCTTCTTTTACTTTATTCTCCTTCATGTACTCTGTGATGCAGGGAGACTGGCCTTCTCAAAATTCTTCATACACACCAACCTATCTTTTGCCTCACCCCTCACTCATTTGTCTCCCGTGCCTAGAATGTCATACCTTATGCCTCTTATTTTTGCCTGACTTCTTTCCAGTCTCAGTTCAAATTCTGCTTACCCTGGGAAGCTTTTCCCAGGTGCCCCCTAATACTCCAGCAGGAGCTAATGCCTTTCCCTCTCAGAGTGCTTCTATATACTCTGTGCAGTTTTTTGCCTGTTATCTCCCTCCTTAGAATGAGAGCTGCTTGAAGACGGGAATAGTGTTTTTGTCCCTGCCCCACTTTTAAAAAATCCTCAGCACTTCATGCAGTGCCTGGTATACGTCGTACCATAAGCCCTTCATAAATGTTGACTTGATTTGGCTACACTAGTGACAGTGGACATCCTTGTTTTACAAACCCTTTATTCTTACTGGAGTCATCTCAGTCATAGCTAATGTTACTGTAGCTTGGTTTGATACTGCATACTATTTAAGAAAATCCTTTTGTTATTGTAATTTTTAGTGGTTTTAATATAAAAGGTATTGTATTTTGTCAAAACCTTTTTCTGTATCTTTTGATTTTTATTTTTTATTATATAATAGTGTTGCTTCTTAAGTTTTCCAGATGCTGAATTAGCCCTGATTTCCTGCTAAAATGCAACTTGGCACTTAATTTTGTTGATATGTTGCTGTATATAGCCTCTGCTAATGTTTTATTCAGTATTGCTGTTCATTAGATATGGAAATATTTTGCATGATTTCACCTGTGTAATCATTGTATTGCTTGTCTTTTCAATGAGTGGGGAAGGGGGAGGATTTGGAATTGAAAACCTAAGAAAATGTGAAGATCATTTTTTGTGATCGTTAAGTCTGTAGTCTTCTTTTTCTGCTTTTATCTCTCCATGGTTTAGGTATCAGGACCTCACTTCTCTCATTGGGATTTGGTAGGATCTCCTTTCCTTACTTTTGCAGTTACTTTATGAAGTGCTCTTTGATTGAATTCACTTAGAAATTTCTCTAGTCCTGGTTTTTCCCACTTTGGGAAGTCCCTTTATGGTGTGCAATATTTCTCCCCCTGAAAATGGGTTATTATATATTACCTATTTCTTGTTTTGTTAATCCGGGTGACTTTATTTTTTGTAAGTATTTATTTCATTTACCATAGTACGTAATTGGGCAAAATATTTTTTAAAATTTGTTGTGAATTATCATTTTTCTTATTACCAATTTGGGATTTTTTTGGGTCAAATTAGCCATTTTATTTACTTTGTGACCCCAAACAGATGCCAGTTTCATTCACAGATTTTAACCAGGTGTGCCAGTAATCTCAGGAATTGAAGAAAACTGATGCGGGTAGATCTCTTTTTCTTTCTTTTTTTTTTTTTTTGAGGCAGTCAGGGTTCAGTGATTTTCCCAGGGTCACACAGCTAGTGTCTGAGGCCAAATTTAAACTCAGGTCCTCCTGACTGCAGGGCTGATGCCATATTCACTGTGCCATCTGGCTGCCCCCTGGTAGACTTCTTGAGCTGTAATGGGCTATGCTAATCAGGTATGTGCACTAAATTTCATATTAATATAGTAAGCTCCATGAAGCAGGGGCCAGAAAGTTGCTAAAAGGAGGGGTAAACTAGCCTAGGTTGGAACTGGAACAGGTCAAAGCTCCTGGGTTGATTAGGGGAGTGAGACCCATGAGTAGCCCCTGCCTTTCTAGCCCGAGATAGCTAGTCCTAAAATACAATATAGATTTTTAAAACTACTTTCAATTTTTATCAATCTCTTTTTTGCCATTTCTATTTTGATTTATTTGTGCCTTTTCTAGTTTTTTTTTAAAGATACATGCCCAACTTCTCATTTTTGTTAATGAAAGTGTTTGGTGAGAGAAATTTTCCCTTAAAATCCTAAACATTTTGGTATGGTCCCAGTTTATTTTTTTTAAATGAAATTATCCATTGTTTCTATTTCTTCTTTGACTCACCAGTTCTGTAAAATGTGATCTCAATTTATTTAAATACCTTCTCTGAATACCCTTTATTATCATTTTTATTGCTGAAGTTCTTTTAATTAGAAGTCAGTTACATTATATATTAAAACTTTAGCTTAGGACCATAATGTGCATATTTTCCTTTTGGCACTCTGTCCTAATTTAACCATCTTAACTATGTATGGAAATGCAAACAATAAATCTCAGGTGATAAATGAAAAGCTAATTGCCTAGTAGGGTTTTGGTCTCACCCTCAAGCCTAACTTCCTATTAACTGAACAAATCAAATCAGTGTTCTTATGCTTACAAGGAAAGCTTTTGGAAATATCATGGTGAGGTAAATCCTTATGAGACATTTTAAATCTTCATTTTTAAAAACTGAGACTGGCATTCTCCCATGGAGTATAACATGGCTGCTGCCCCAGAACCTGGCAGTTTCTGGTCCACAGTAACAATCCTGCTGCCTCTGTGGGGATGCGAAATGTTTCAGAATTGAAGGTTGTTTACCTGGCTTATGGTACGAGCAGTTTCTGTCATCCATGCTGACTCACCTGAATGAGTTACTAAGAGGAGACAGAGACCTTAAGGGAGATGTCTCACTTTGTCATCCAGTTTTTCTAAGTCTTTTAAGAACTTCTTTTTTGTGGAAAACTGCTGCCATCCTTGATTCTGCTGATGAGTCTTATACTACATGTAAACACACAGGTTGATTATTTAAGCTGGTCCCTTTATATATTTAATACTTTCATAGTGACACCATCCTATTCTGTATACTTCACTACTCATATTTTAATTTGGTTCAGCTATTCTTTTTAAACAGTGGCAGAACATGCCTATTTTATTGGCAATTTGAGTGTCTTTACAATCATTGTGGGAATCTTTAATGTCAGTGCCTGTCTTTAAAGATGTCAGTTTTAGCCAAGCTAGCAGGACTGCTTGTATCTCTTCAAAAAGATGGAAAAAGTATCATGAAGTCTTAAAATAATAAGGAAGGGAGCTTAAGACTGTGGAAGTGAGAAACAAGCTAGTGAAGACATCTCTAGAAAAAATGGTAATCTCATGGCTTTTTTTTTTTTTATCAGGGGCATATAGGTTGTACAGTGGATAGAATCCTGGTCCTGGAATCAGGACGACTTGAGTTCAAATGTGGCCTCAGAACTTGACACTTACTAGCTGTGTGACCCTGGGCAAGTGACCTAACCCTGATTGCCTTGCCAAAAAAAAACCACCCAAAACAAAACAACTTATTTTAAAGGGCTTATTCTGTAATATTGTTCTTTGCTATTAAATGGGGTCATATATGGAAAGTATAATTTTGAATACTGTCTGGAGAGAAGAAAGCCATTGAAACCACTTAGAAATGGTTTCATTAATTTGGACCAGGAACTTCTTATTTTTAAATATAAAGTACAAGGCAACTCACTAAAATAACAGATATGGTCGATTTTGGTTTCTGTTAGCACTGTAGCATTGTATACTTATTTCAGACATTTCATGAAAAACATATTGCATCAATAATTTTAACTATAAAATTAAAATGCTTTATTTTGTCATTGTTGATAAAAGGGCTCAGAATTTTCAAGGTAACTTCATTTCCCATCAGTTGCTGTACTTGGTTTCAACTCCATAGAACACGGTACTCCCTTTTCCTTATTACCTCGGCTTCCATTTGTGTGTTGTTTTCCTCCATCAGACTGTAAGCTCCTTGAGGGCAAAGACCGTCTTTCTTATTTGTGTCCCCAGAGTTTATCACAGCGCGTGGCACATAGGCACTTAATGAATGTTTATTGGATTAAAACATGCTGAAAACTTTTCTCCTATAAAATTTCCTTTTAAAGGTTAACATAATTTTTATTGCATTTTAAATCAAGCAAAGTTCCGAGTAAATTTAGTTTCTTCTTAGAAAATCCCAGAAGTCTTAAAGTTTGCTGAAAAATAGAGGAAAACATCACTTCATTTAATAAAATTAAATATTTACTAACTGAAATAAAACTGTATCCTCTGTGTGTGTGATCCTGACTGTAACGTTTTCCTTCCTTCCAAATATCCAATCCTTATAATCCCAGGCTTCCTTTAAGACTCAGCTCATTTTTCTGGTTTTCTAAATGGCAGTGGTAAGTGGGAGGAGGGTTAGAAGGCTGAACCTCCACCTTCCAGGAGCCCTTTCCTGGTCTGCTGGTGCCTTCCTTTCCAAGCATCTTCCACGTATATATTTTGTAAGAAACTATGTGTATATGTGTCGTCTCTCCCCTTAGGATAAGCTTCTTGAAGAAAGTGGCTGTTTTTGCCTTTCTCCGTTTTTTTCTTTTTTGCCTAGTGCTTTGCATAATGCCTGGCACAGAAGAGATACTTAATAAGTACCTTTTTCCTTCTATTTCTGTTTTTTAAAAATTCAACTTTATTTCATTTTTAGTTCTGCATCCTGTCTCTCCCTTCCCAACTCATTAACAAGGCAGGAAAAACAAACTCTGTCATGAATTTTAAAAATACTATGTTGACTGACTCAACAAATATTAAGTACATAAGGCACTATATATGAACTAAGATACTATGCATGGATGATCCAAAAACAAACCCCATTCTGAGAGCTGTCCTCTATCACTATACACTCTGAGAGTGCAGAACGATGTGATATAGTGCAAAGACAACTAAATTTGGAGCCAGAGGAACTGGATTCAAGTTTCGTAGCTGCCATTTCCTACCTGAGGAACCTTGGACAAGCAGTTTCATCTCTTGAACCCTGTCTCCTTATCTGTAAAACGAGGGGGCTGGCCTCAGTAGCTTCTCTGGCCCCTTCCAGCTCTATACCTATGATGCTATGAATATGTATGTAAATAAGTATAATATAAACCAAAGAGAAAAGGGAAGAAGAAAAATGATGGAAAAGCTGCTTGCAGGAGACAATACTTAAGCAGACCACAGCAGGAAGAAGAGGATTCCATGAAGCAGAGGTGAGTGCATTCTAGATACAGGGTGGTTTGTGTGAATGCAAGGAGCTGGGAACGTGGTGGTAAGCAGGGAAATTGGCTGAAATGTAGATTTTACAAAGAAGAGTAGAACGACTGAAACAAAGTCAGACAAGATTGAGTTGGTATTTAAACCTAGAAGTGTTGAGAGACAAACATCAAGAAAATAAAGGGAATTAATGAAAACCAAAAAAATGGGAAAGGAGTACCTAGTAATAAGCATCAGAAAAGGTGAAATTTAGAGCTAAAGAAAGCTTAGAGATAGTTGATTTCATAGGATCATAAAATTAGAGCTGGACAGAATCTCAAAGACCATTGAGTGCACCCCTTCATTTTACAGGTGAGGAAAATAAAGCTCTGGGAGGGTTATCTGGGAGGTTAGCTATCATCCAAAGGTTCACAGCTAGTACCAGAAAAAGGATCTGAATTTTTGGGTTTTCCTCACTGGACTCTATGGCTTGTGCCCATCCACAGCACCACACAGAGAAGTGGAAATTCGGGATTTGATTTTCCCTTTTAACATGATGGCTATTACATACCCTGAAGAAAGCTGATAGTATAACACAACTGTTAACAGAATTGTGAGTATACTCACCTGTCTTCTACTGTCTTATTAGAAGGATAGAAAACCTTGAATGAAAATCCACTTCTTGGGAAAGAGCCCTTAAAAAAATTTAAGAGAACATTATTACTTTTAATTTATTGCACATTGAAAGAGAAGTACTTTTAAGGTCAAGTAGTTAAGCTTGTGCTAGTAGTCATTGTGAAGAAAAATCCATACTCTTTCATGTCAACATAAATATAACTGGCCATTATTAGAGGAAAAATCAGATTTTATGTGAAATTAAATCTGCAAGTGAGACACTTGGTATTTTAAACGAAATGAACAGCAAAAGTTTGGCTGGCACAAGAGCTCTAAAAGGAAGAGACATTGTTTCTTTATGATGAATGATGGGGATTTTTTCCCATAGTATAATAAAAATGTGGAAAAGGTAAAAAATTTGATTCATTTAAGAAGAATTAACTGTGAAGATAGCAGATAGCAGATACAAAATTTGTTAAGTGCTTACATAAATATAATAGCCAGGCACTGTTCTTAACCTTTGAGATAAAATACAAGTAAGCAAGGAAGTCTCTCTTTAAGTAGTTTACATTCTAATAAGACAACAAAAAAGCACAGATATTACTTTAAAAAAAGTATATATTTAGAAATATTCATTCTGAGAGAAAATCTGAATTCAAGGAAAGTTTTCCGAAAAGTGCTACTTACTTAGGGGATAAGCAAGCAAAAAAAAAAAAAGACAATCATTTATAATTCTCTTTCAAGGAAACAAAAAAAATTTGAAAAGAATTTATGATTTTTTTTGGTCATATGACCTGGAAATAAAAGGTCAAAGTCTATAATAGAAAAATGACAACATTCCAGAGATTAGAGAAGTACACATGTCATCACAAATGACTTTGCTGACTTATTTCTTTGACATTAAGGACAATGCTTATTTGATAGTCATCCCCTGAAGTCAGAGTTAACCAATTTTATTATGTAGAAAATCTGAAGCATTTGTGAGATTCTGTGCTATAGAGGAAAATTAGTCCAATGTGTTGCCCTGTGATTGGCTCACACTGCATTTTCCAGATGTTATTTACCCAACTTATTTCAAGATGATTTTTGGCAATTAAAAAAAAATTAAATGTACTCTTCAAGTTTTGAAAATAAAGGGCTAAAAATCCTGCAGACATTTCCAAATAAAAAGGTTTTAAAAAATGTTTTCAGTCAATACTAAGTCATAGCAGTGGTTGGAGAGACAGATTTGTGTATGTTGGGACAACATTCACTTTCATGTAAAAGTTCTGCTATGTTTGTAAAAAATGTGGGGGTGGATATCATTGTTTAATAGCCACATCTGAAAGACAATAAACTTAACAGCTTTCTTTCTATGTTATAACAAAACAACCCAGTTCTGTTGCTGTTATCATATTCCTACACATTCTGAAGTGAGACTGCATCAAATTTTAACTTTTAAAGTAGCAAATAATGTAATGTTCCATGAATTCTTACAGGGTTTATGCAAAGACAGTCTGTATTGATAATGGTAAAAGGATCATATTTGTCTGCAATAACAAGTAGATCAGGAACAGGATACACTCTCAAAGTGTGATCATAGGCCCAATACACTGGACAGACGTAAAGTGGTAAAGGAGTCAGATGTCCTTGTGACAGGAGAGTCTTTACAAACTACAAAAGAAAGAGAAAAAAGTATAATGTAAGAAAAAAAGAACCTCAGTGTTTTGCTTGAAAAATCTGATCTAGTCAAGTTATTTCAAGGCAGGTAAGAAGTAATATAAAGAATAAAGGAAGCAATGTTATCAAAACAGTGCTGAGGAGACACATAGATACTCAGACACAAACTCCTTGTGTCTGGTAGGTAGTGCACAATCCTCTAAACAAACCACAATGGCCTAAAAACTGAAAATACACTAGTAGCTTTAAATATGAATATGCTTAAATTTCTCATTTTACACTGAAGATTTAGCAATAAAAAATACAATTCTTTTTGTTTTTTTGTTTTGTAGGCAATTGGGGTTAAGTGACTTGCCCAGGGTCACACAGCTAGTAGCATGACAAACGTCTGGTCTGAGGTTGCATTTGAACTCAGGTCCTCCTGACTGCAAGACTGCTGCTCTATCCACTGCACCACCTAGCTGCCCCCAAAAATACAATTCTTTAAAGCAGTCCTAAGGAACCCATGGTTTAATCTGTGACAAAGAAGCATTAAAATAAAAAAGGATAAATATTATATATAAGACTGTGGTACAAATAATTTTTATTTAATTCAATATGATAACACAATTAAGAAAGAATGTGTTAACTTACATGATGAGGAATATCCAGATTGCTGCTAGGAAAACGGACACAATTTCTACACATTTTATTCACCAAGTCTTCACGAAAGATGATGATTTCTTGTGTACAATACTGAATTCTAGGATGAAAATGTGGGTTGAATTTTGAATACTTAAGAGATTTTTAATAATTATTTTGGTTTAGGGAACTTCCAAGTGAAGAAAAACTTTCTACAACTGCAGGTCATCACCTCCACATTGTTATGGTCTTTGAAAGTCTGCAAGAACGAGTCAAAAGGAGGGGGTTGAACCCAGGTCATCCTGGCTACAAATCCATTATGTCATGCTATCTTTCTCTGACTTTTTTTAATTCAAAGAAAATTTCGTTTTGCAACAGCAAGCCACCTCTCCCATCAGTCTTGCAGAAAATCATACTACAAACCACAATTATAATCAGTGACACGGACAGCAAATGTTTTGTAATGCTTCCATTCTTCCTTGATAAGTTTTCTTAAAGGGGGCTTATAAGGACAATTTGTGTGTTCATGGACAATAATATCATGCATTTTCAATAGTTTTAATCCCATATGAAATACTGCTTATCACTAGGACAGTTTCAGAGCTAGAATTACCTCAGAAATGGACAAATTCAGTCCCTACATCATATAATTGAAGAAACAGGCTACAAAGATTACAAGTGACTTATCCAAAGTTACACACACAGTAAGTGTCCAAGCTGTAATTTAAATCCAGGTCCTTTAACTCCAAGTCCTGCTCTTTCCACTGTACTTTACTGCCTCCCAACACTGCTTTGAATTCTATTAGTATATTTTTCATTTATGAATAATTTTGATTCATCTACATAAAATCAATGAATATATAGAAAACATTTTAATAAGGTCATGTATTTCAACAAAAGAAAAACAACCATTACTACAAAATACACAATAGTAAAATTTACCTGCAGGGATTGGTAGTGAAAACTGAAAATGGCACCCGTTGCCTAAAGTCATTAGTGATGCTTTCAGCAAGTGGTGGTCTGCAAAAATAATTTGCACAGCACAGATTACTTGTTAAAAGTTCCTCAAATTTCCTTTAAAGTTGTCAAAAGTATAGCTCTAACTTACCTTGGTAAAATAGAACCAGGCCCAGGATCCTCTGGCCCAGGTACAAACACAAAACGACTGCTGTAAATATAATACATCATTTGTTATTTTTACAATTACTTAACAGTATTAATGATATAAAAATAAGCAATTAAACTACTTTGTGTCAGGAATGATTTTTACAAGTACTGCTAAGTGTGCTTTTGTCACAAAGTAATGACAGAAAACAAATTTCCTTTAATATGTGGAGATCAATTTATAGATATTGGACTATAGGTTCAAAATGAGAAATACATTTCCTGACACACCATTAACATACAATAACTATACTTTTGTTAGAAGGGAAGGTTTTTATTTGTCAGAGGGTAAAGGAGAGAGATTTCTAGGCAGTGGGAAGAGGGAAACAACAATAGTGATTAAAGAAAATCAAAGAAAGGAAAGAAAAGCATGTTAATAAACATTAAAAAACAGGAGACTAGAGAGAGTTTAGGAGGGGAACACAGACAAGCACAGCAATGTTGGTACTACTATTTAAATTTATTGTATGGTAAAAGGAACATACAGATACGTAGATTTGCAATTGCATGTATAATTCCCACTTTCAGGCCTTTCCTTGTGTTTGGAAACGTTCGTGTTTGTTGATGATTTTCTAGTTTATAATTTTTGAAAAGTGGAAAGGCAGCATGGCCCTTAAAGCAAGATGACCTCAATTTAAGGCTCATTTCTAACATACACTGACTGTGTGAATGTGGACTAGCCACTTAAACACTCATTGCTCTCAGCAGTTCTAACAGAGCAGCCTGTGCAGTGGACAGAGCCCTGCCCTTGAAATCAGGAAAACCTGAATTCAAATCTGGCCTTTGTGTGACCTTTGGCAAGCTCAGTGTATTCACCTAATAGGGTTGTTATGACAATCAAAGGAGATATTTATAAAGAGACACACTGCCTGGCACATAGTAGGCACTTAATAAATACTTGTTCCTTCCTTTCTACCTTCTCAGATTATAAATTGCAGAGAAGATACTTAACCATACCAGTAGATTTCCCTGTGCTAGTGAAATCACAGGTCTGGTCTCCACCCCATCCCTAAAAAGGGAAAAACCTCAATAATCCTGAAACCAGAAAATGTAAGAAAATGAAATAATATATTTTCCCAATTGAAGAAAGGAGAAGTTCTTCATGGGTTCAACTATGTAAAAATAAAACAAATTCATACAAAAGGATGACGGTCAGTTAAAAGCTTGACTTCAAAAAGTTATAGAGAGCTTATAAAATATTGGTCCATTTCTAATATCCAAAGAATATAAATAAAAAAGGAAACACAAATATTAAATAATATTTCATATCCCAAATCATTATTAATTAAGGAAAGGCATTTTAAAACAACTCCATAAAGTGGCAAAAATATTTTAAATTTATAAAATCTAGCACTAACTAGATTGTGGGGAAACAGTTACATTGATACATAGCTGCAGGCAATACAAATTAATGATGTAAAACTGGTGATATCTTTTGACATGTTAAACCAAGGAAAGAATTACAAAGAAAAAAGAGCTATTTGTACAAAGATGTTAAGGCTGAGCTACATGTACAGTAATAAAAATCAGAAACAACTTATGTTCAGTTACTGGAGAATGGATAGAAGGACCATGGTGCATCAATTTAATAGACATATCACCTTAAAAATGACAAAAAACCAAATTATAGCATTATTCAGAAATAAGGTAAAAGTCTACATGAAATAGTGACAAGGTAAAAAAAAGCAAAATTGTACTTATTGGTTATATAGTAACAGCTCTATAAAAATGTATATCACATGCATTAAAAGTTTATGTGCTTTTGAATGGGCAATCATAAAGATAATAAAAGTCATCATATTAACACATTGCCTTCTGTGTCTGTACATACCATTTCTTTTTTCTTAATGTACTTTCATTCGTTTTTAAAATAGTCACTAACAGAATTCCGTTTTTTTGAAAAAGAAGAAAGACTACAGAAATGTAGAGCATGGAAGAGTATGTCATTACCTTTGGTGAATATTGGGGTATTCACATATTATGTCTGCAAGAGCCTTCAGGGAATCTAAAATTTTAAAAGGATATTAAAATCGATTTTGTATGCTTCTGGATATCAAATGAAATCAAATCAAAACACTGTAATGGCCTGAAGCTTTTAAATTAATGACTGAATTATAGTAATTTACAACTAAAATTCAACATAAAAATGGCTTTAATCTGTCAGTTAACTATTTGGAATCTGGAATGTATTTTCCCAAGTTATACAACTGATGGTTAGTTGCTCAAACTAGTTCACAAAAACCTGTTTAACTCATAACTGAGCTTGTGTGGACTTTCCTAATAATGACAGTGAACCTAACCATTATCTGCAATAACTTTTTTCTATGGAAAAGTTCCCATGTTCAAAATTCCAACATGAGAGACCAAGATCATATTTTCCCTTAATATAGGAAAATAAGGACTCCAACTCTTGCCTCAGGGACTGAATGATTGCCCTGGCTCCAAGCAGGCTGGATAAAGCCAAAAGCAAAGATAAAGGCCGATGAGCTAAGGTACTACCAAAGTAAATCTCCTTTTTGGCAGCTCACTGGGTAGATCACATCCCTTTACTCTGGCACAACCGCTGCTTCAGATTAGGATTTCTTTTCTTCTCTGGTCTATGGATTATCACATTCAAGCTCCTGTCTCTAAAGCAAAAACCAGGGTAACACTTTTTAAGCGGTTTTAGGTATGTTAACAAGGACAAAAGAGATAAGGAATAAAATACAGGGGCTAAGTTAAAGTCCTATGTATGTGTTAATGGTGGTTAAAGTGCTATAATGAGGATGATAATAATTAGCATTTTTATGGTGCATTAAGATTTGCAGAGCACTTTACAAGTTATCTCATTTGATCATTCACATTAGAAAACTGAGGCCTAAAGAGGTTACTGCCCAAGATCAAACAGATTTTTAAGTCTATGAGTCAGGACTTGAATTTGGGTCTTCCTGATTCCAAGTCTAACACTCAATCCGCCGTATCACCTAACTGCTCAGGGCATCCAAACTTTTGATTTTGTATTCCATCAGTAAAGTAAGCATGAGCGCATACTTACAATGTGTATATTTATTTATTTTTAAGTCACATCTAGCATTATGCTAATATTCATTGTACTTTGTAAACTGTACATACGACAAAAAGAAATTAAAGGATGAAGTAAAGATGAAATAACATTTTGTCTTAGAGTCAGTAAGGAGCCACTGATGTTTACTGAGTAAGGGGGTGAAATGATCAATTCTACCCTTTAGGAAAACGACTCTGGCAGCTCTGTGGAGAACAGGCTTGGAGGTAAAAGACTAGAAGCAAGGGGATCAAAGAAGAGGTTATTGTAATAGTCCAGGTCAGAGTTAATGCTGGCCTGATACAGGTAACATAAGTAGATCAAAGGGAATGTATGCAAGTAGTGCTGTAGAGATAAAAAGGCCAGGATTTGGCAACTGACTGGACATACAGGAAGACTGAGAATAAGGAAGTGAAGGTGACAGTGCAGTTGCAAACTTGAATGGTGCCATGATAATTATAAGGAAATTCAGAAAGGTGAGCTTGGGGGAAAAGATAATGCAATAAGTCTGTGATAAGCTACAAACCATCCATACCTACTCATTCTGTGAGACTCTGTAACATGCAAATCAAAAAGGGGAGTTGAATGGACCTCTAATTGACTGGCCTCTGCCCTGAACACAGAGCATGAAGGTGCCTGTCACAGCCACAAGATGATCTGGGGCTCAGGGAACAGGAAGGGGTGGGGGGACACAGGGAGATGACAACAAAGGTTTCCAGATGGTATCTTCGTAGCTGCTGCTCTGGGTACCTTCATAGTGTGGTTGTGTAAGGTTATGGTTCCCCTTGCCTTTAGGTCATGGCTCCCACTTCATAGAAACCACTGAGTTAGAGGGAAAGATCATTCCTTCATTGTTTGCCCTTTGTTTTCAAAGAGAACCAGTACCATCAGGAAGGTGATGACATGACTTGCAAGTGAAGTGGATTTAAGTGAAGTAGGGCTGTGCAAAGTCACCAACCTCACTCTTTCCCCCAGAGCCCTCTGGGTCCAGTGGCAAGAAATAGATCAGGAGGATTGGAGATGGCCCCCAGAGGGAAAGAAAAGGGGCTAAGAATGGTGATGAAGAAGAGTAGTGTTAGCAGAACTTCTTCTTCCCCCAGTCCTGATACCACAAACTATATGGGAAATACTAGATAGCTATGTGAAGGGGAGAGAGAGGGACATATCAGGCACTGCTGTGGGAAATGGAGAATTTCTATAGCCACCAGCCATCCTTAGGTTCATAAGAGCATAGTTACAGAGTTGAAAGGGACCTTGATTATCAGCTATTCTATTCCCCTCATTGTGCAGGTAAGGAAACCTGGGCCAAGGGAGACAGTAAAATGTAAACACCCCCCCCTTTTTTTGGTGAGGCATTGCCCAGAGCCACACAGCTAGTGTTATATGTCTGAGGCTGGATTTGAACTCAGGCCCTCCTAAATCAAGGGCTGGTGCTCTATCCATTGTGCCACCTAGGTGCCCCTAAAATGTAAGCTCCTTAAGGGAAAGGACTGTCTCCTTATGTAGTTGTCACCCCCGGCTGTCAACATTTTCTGGCACATAGTAGGTGCCTAATGCTTGTTGACTGCTTTATGCACAAGGTAAAAAAGATGGTAAGTAGCAGGACCAGGGTTTGGAACTAAGACCTTCGACTTCAAATCTTGGGCTCTTTCCATTATACTATGTAAGGAGGGCTGGAAGTCAGGGACTAGTTACCACATTTTTATGCCAATTTAGTTTTTAAACATTCAACTATTTCTTATTTGTGTCTTGTCTTAAAAAACTTTTTTTTCAATACCTTTCAATGACTGAACATGATTTTTTCCATATGGTGCAGATGAAAAATTTCCACAGAAGATGAAACATGTTGGAGGTACAGAAGAATAGCCTAAGGAGTATAAGAACAAATAAAGATTACTTTTTAATGCAAACAAATTAGCATAAGGCTACTTATGACATTAGGTAAGGATATTTTTCAAAGTCTAATGAAATTGATAAATTGAAATATGAAAAAATTATCTAAACTGTTATTTCTAAGGACATTAACTTATACTTTGTTAAAAGCTGGAAAAAGAAAATGTTAGTACTTCAATACAATGATCCATCGTTACAACAATGCCAGTAGACATCAACACCTATTGACCCCTTTATGTACTTTGTAAATGGTCTTCATGATCTGCTAAAGCTAATAAAAATCTCCACCTGGTGGCCAACTTGAGGCTATTGAATCCCTCTGACCCTAGGAAGGCTAGTTTTAGAGAAGTGATATACATCACCAAGCTGTCACTTTCCAGCCTGACAGAACCTGCTTGTCCTCTGCTGTACAAACCCACATCACCTCCACACTATGATGAAGCACAGCTGTACAACTTTAGTAGAAATTTCTATTCTCATTTATTAGCCTCAAAAAAAATCTTTTAAAAATGTTTTATTGTTAAATCACTACAAAAACTAAATGCTCAAAGGTTGTAGTTTCTGAGGGTTTAGACTTAAGATATGAAATATCAAGATAAGGATTCATGAATTCAAAACAATGAAAAAAATACATACCAGAAAACATAATGTGAAGCTTTTCTAATACTTCTACTTGGTCCAACCAAACATCAGACACCAATACAAACATGGTATCTTCATTTTCTTCTTCCAGCTGTTTTAGTTTTGCAGAAGCTTTTACAGATGTAGAAGTTGGTCCGCCAAAAAAATTTACATTTCCATAGTATGCCCTATTTTAATAGAAAGAGCATCATTTTCTTTTTCTTCCCTACTACACTCTAGATCTGAGTAATTTACCCCCTCATTTTATACTGCAGCCCTGTTCTCATTGAGGGTTTTTCCAGTAATATATTTCAAGAAAATATATAATCTGTAGCAATTCAAAATTGAACAAACTAATCTATAACCTGTACAATTAAAGGTGCAGAAAGGGAAGAAGGAAGAATGTGGAAGTAATGAATGGTTAGCAAAACCATCTGAACATCAAAAGTACGCTTTTTGCCCTTCTATAATGGTGTCAATTTTAAACAAACTCCAGGACTATTTTTTGCTTTTCTATGCAGCTTTTACTTTGTTGTTAGTCTTTACTAGCTTTAAAAGGAATGAAATAATTTTGAAATTACAGAAGGAAAGCAGTGAATAGATATAACTGTACAACATCCACTAGGCTGATGGATAAAACAGAACAAGAGTATTATGTGAAAGTGACAGCCAGGAGTTTTGTCTCTTACTCTATTCTGTACTGCAAAACTTCTCTATGTTATCCTCTCTCCTCTCCTCCTGTCTCAGGATAAGGCAACCCTTCTTCTCCTTACCAAGGCCACCCCTCTACTTGGGCCCCTGATTCCAACAACTTATTTAGCAGCCTGACTCATTAATCTCATACTTCCTTTCTTACATATTCAGTTTCTCATTTTCTCTCGGTTTCTTTCCTGATGCCTACAAACACGATCAACTTTCTCTTCTATTTTAAATATCCTCTGACCCTGCTATTCCCTTAAGTTATTTTTCTCCTTTTCATGATTAAGAGGAGAACACATGCACTGCCTCCACTCTTTCCCTGCTTATTTACTCTTCAACCTTTTGCAATATAGCTTCTGTCTCAACCATTCTAATGAAACCTGGTTCTCAAAGGTGGCCAGAGATCTTTTAATTGCTAAATCTGATAGCTTCTTCTTAAAAATCATTATCATTTATAGCTCACATACTATATAATGTAATTACATTAATATAATTACATAATATATAACAAAAATTACAAAGCACTTTCCTCACAATAATCCTCCCATTCTGCAGAAGAGGAAAGTATGTGGAAGGTGACTCACCCAGAGTCACAGAGATAGTAGATATCTGAAGCAGGCTACAAACTCAAGGCTCCTGATGATTTTTTCCAACTACCAGGGGTGGGAAACTTGTGGCCTGGAGGGCCGCATGTGGGCCTCTGGATGCTCAGGTGCGGCCCTTTGACTGCATCTAAACTTCACATAACAAATCCCCTTGTGGGGGATGGGTGAAGTCCACTCAAGGGTTAAGGCACAGGGGGAACAAACAACTTGAAAGCAACACGACCATCTGCTTGTTGCAAGCTGGCCCTGGCTTGTTGTTAAACCTGTATCTGGACAAAGCAGGCAGAATCCTGTCGTTCCTAGGCAGATCCTTTAGGATAGACCGGGCACCCTACTGACTGGCCAATCAGCAGCAGGAGGAGTGCAGAGAAGGGAAAGGCTGTGGGGGTCTCACAAATGGCTATAATCTTTTCTCTCTGGGTGAGAGATGATCTCTCAGAAGTGAAGCCTCCTCAAAGGGTCAACAGAGTTCTTATATTGCTGACCTTGTAAAAGTATGCTTTCAAAACCTCCCCCACCCCCCCACCCTGTTTTTAAGCAGGTAACAGAAAGAATAGCCTCACCCCCAACCTAAACTGCTGACTCATTTCAAAATTTCCCGCCTTTTCTTGTCTCTGTTGCTGGGGAAGATTTCCGTGAATAGATTGTGCCCCCTGAAGCCCAGCCAATGGGATAAGGGGAAGGGGGTTAGGGAGGGAGTTATGGTAGAAATAGACCTTGCTTTCTGTAACCAATTCATACTCTCCTGGCCATGGCCATTAGTGGGACAAGGGGCGGTACCCTTTCTCATGAGAAAGCAATAAACTCCTTTCTGCTTTCAAGGTATCTAAGTCTTTGTTTTAATTTTGAGTAGTGGTCTCTGTCCCACACACCCTCAATGAAAGGATTTGTTCTGTAAAACTTGGACTCAGTCAAAAGGCTGCACGCAAGGACCTAGAAGGCCTCACAGGTTCCCCACCCCGATGCTGCCTTTCAGTCTCCAGTATTTGTCATCAGCCCTCTTCACCTTTATTCACATTCAGGACAGTTGCCCACATTCTCCTCCTCTTCCTCCACAACACTTTCTCTTCATGACTTCTCTGATAGTATTATCTACTGATTATTTATCTGACCATTCTTCCCTAAATCTCCTTCAGTGGTTCCTTATCTGTTTATTGATATAGTCTCCAACCTTTGGAATACACTCCCTCCTCATCTCAAAGTTTTCTCAGCTCAGGTACCAACTATTCCAGGAAGTCTTCACTCTTAAATGAGAGCATTCTCTGCCAACTCAAATTTTCACAGCTTGTTTTATCTGAGTGTCTCCATTGTCCCATTATTCTCCACTTTGTTATTTATCTGTTCTTGTCACATTCTTTTTCCCTAGTGCCTAAGACAGGTGCTTAATAAATGTTTCCTGAATATACAGTATTCTCCCTAATGCAAGTACTCTTTCTTTTTAAATGTTTCCATAGCTACTCAAACCACTAAAACCCTGCAAGATACCTCCTACAAAGGTTACAGAGTGATTTTCTGTAAGCAAAAAGAGGGCTTTGGCATTCAGAGCTATACTATTCTTACAATGGCATCTTAATCCCTTTGGTTTGTTCCAAAATAATAACAACGGCAATGATTACAACAATAATTACAATGGTGTCAATAACAGACATTTCCAACAGCACTTTAAGGTCAGTAAAGCACGTTGTAATTGTTTTCTCATTTTATCCACACAACTATCCTCAGAGGTAAATGCAAATATAACAATGCTACCACCTCACCTTTACATAGCAATTTATATATTTTAAAATTACATTCACATTTATCACCTTATTTGATCCTCTCAACAACTCCCTAATGTATACAGGGCAAGTATTTTTATGTCCCTTTACCAAATAACAAAACTGGGGCCCAGAAAAGTTTATAGCAATTAGTGCTGAAAGGGATCTAAGTTAAGTTCAACTCCCTTCTCCCAAAGATGCAGGAACAGGCTCCAAGACATTAAATGACTTGCCCAATGTGACACAGCTGGATAAAGGCAGAAATACCTCCCTGTGTTCCTTGGGTCCAAAGGTTTTTGTATGAAGCCAAAATTTCTCAGGTGCTACTTTTACATGCCTATTACAAAGGTAATGCTAATATCATGCCTGATAACACTATGTCTCACATTTGCTACTGTTAAATTTACAAAATCCACATAGTTGCAGATGGGTCAAAAACCAAATTTTTACCTAGTAGTGCTGGATGGTTCAATGGGAGGAAATCCAAAGGCATTAACATGAAAAACCTGATCTTCAAACCAACCTGAAAAATGTTATATTAAGCAGACACAATCAGCTATATTCAAATTGGGGGAAAAAATAAAATTAAATAACACAAAGCAGGTTTACATGCTTATCCAAAGTACCCAAGCCAGCCAGGTCTTCTTTCCTCTCCATGCTGCACTCCCCACTCTGGACTCCTCCCACAGAACCTGATGAGCCTGGTTCAGTACCCCTCCCTTTCTCATTTTAGGTTCCTTTTAGGTGTTTTCCCCTACTAAATGTAAGCTCCTAGAGGGAAGGGTCTTTATTTTTTCTGCTTGTACTTGTATTCCCAGCGCTTAGCACTGTGCCTGACACCTAGGACGTGTCAGAACAACAAACATAAAGGTCTGTTGGCTTGACTTCTTTGTCATAAAAGTAGGATTTGGGCAGCTGGGTGGCACAGTAGAGAGAATGCTGGGTCTGGAATCAGAAATACCTCAATTCAAATCCAGCCTCAAATACTTACTAACTGTACGACCCTGGGTAAGTCACTTAACCTGTCTGCTTCAGTGTCCTCATCTGTAAAATGAAACTAATAACAGTCTTCTTAGTATGGTGCCTGGCATATGGTAAGTGCTATATAAGTGTTAGCTATCTGATATCATTATTTTCTTCCAGAAATATGATGAAAATAGAAAAGACATCAATAAAACATTTTTAAAGGGGGAAAGAAAAACTCCATTTGATCCTGCTATCCCTTCAAATTGTTATCTTATATCTACTTTCCTTTTCATAGACACACTTCTAAAAAAACCTATCTGCACTCACTGCCTCTACTTTCTCAACTCCTACTCACTTTTAAATCCCTTGGAATCTGCTTTTGCATCCCATGCCTCATTTGAAATTGCTGTATCAGAGATTACTGAGAATCAAATGCTAAATTTGATAGTTTATTTCTCAGTTCTCAACCTTCTTGACCTATCTTCTTAACCTATCTCCTTCTTTTGTCACTGCTGACCACCCCATCCTCTTGGGTACTCTTCTCCTGGCTTTTGGGACAATGATTTTTCCTGGTTCTCCTACAATTCATCTGACAGTTCCTACTTAGTCTCCTTTGCTCAGTCAATCAATCAATCAATAAACATTTACTGAGAACCTACTCTGTGTGAGGCACAAAGAAAAAAATGAAATAATTTCCCAAAGAGTTTGTATCCTATTGGGAGGTTATATACATATATGTACATGTATAAAGATACACACATATGTACACACATAATCAACATAAAATTAAATTAATAAATAAATGGGAATCAAATGCAGGATAGTTAGGGAAGGCACTTGCAATTGGGAAGACCAAGGAAGCCAGGAGGAAAGTAGAGGGTGGTGCTTAAACCGTATCTTGAAGGAAGTCAGGAATTCTGTGAGGTGGAGGTGAGGAACGAGTGTCTTCCAGACAAGAAGAATGGCCACTGCAAAGGCATCAAAATGTTCGGGCCTTCTCTTCCCTCTCTTCATTTTTCTCCATGATCTCATAGGTTCCCATCAGTTCGATGATCATTTTTATGCAGATGATCCCCAAATCTATACATCCAGCCCTAATATCTCTATTGAGCTCTAGTCCCACAACTATCTGAATTACACCTGCATGTCTCAATGACATTTCAAATACAATATGTTCAAAACAGAACTTGTCCTCTTCACCCTAAGCTCATCTCTTCGAAATCTATTTCTTTAGAGGGTACCAACGTCCTTCTAGTCACCTAGAATAACAATCTTAAAAAAAAGTCATCTTCAACTCTTTTCTCTCCTTCACTACTCATAACAAATCAACTGCCAAAGTATTGTCAATTTTACCTCTACAACATGTCTCTCACAAATTCTGCATCAGGCCACCATTCTAGAATGTTCAGGTCCTCATTGTTGGGGTGCTTGGGTGCTTATGTTTGGGTGCTTGTACTCAGACCCCAATTTCTCCCTAGCCTCAGAAACACTGTCCCTTGATAATCATTTAAGATCAACTGAGCCCCGGTAAGGGCCAAAAACCTAAATTAATCTTATTCTCTCTGAGTGAACTAAAAACAACCCTTCCTGTGTCAAGCAAATTCCAGGACCAGATAGAGCGGATCAGTATTCTTCCTGTTTGTTATCCCAGGATGTCTGGGACCAGATACTCTCTTGAATAATGGGATTTTTCTTATCTTGAGTTTCAATTGAGAACTGACCACTCCTTAACCACTCCCTAATCCTGCCCTGAATCACCTAGTTAGCATATTTGACACATGTTTTATTGCATTTTATCCTATATAAACTTTACCTGTACCTCTCTAAGGTTGCAGGTTCCTTTAAGAATCCTTGCCTGCTGAAAAGCGTAACAATAAACTCTGCCACCTTGGCTTAAGATTGCTTTGAGTTTGTGAATTCATTCCAGACAACCCGTTTTGTACTTTGGTTTTTTTGAGGGGTCCCAACCTCTCAACCCTCATCATCATCACGTCTCATATGAACCAAGGCAACTGCTTCCTAGTTTGACTTTCTACTTTCATTCTCATCCATTCTCCATACAGCTGCCAAAATAACCTTCCCACAGCACAGTGTAACTCCCTGCCTAAAGAATCTTATATTTCCTTACATTTCACTGAAACGGTTTCATGACTCAGAAGCCTTTTCTGATCTATTTATTGGTATTCTCTCCCTCCTGAAATCATTCTGCACTGCCTTATCTGTGTTACCCTGGTTTCCTCCTCCTGCCTCTAACTCCCAGTCAAATCTAAAGTTCTTCAGGGCTTAGTCAGGATTATCTTTCTTTTGTTTTTTGCCTCTGATGCCTGGCACATTGACTTGTATATAGTCTGCATTTAAATGCCTACTGTCTAGACAATGGAACAGAGTTTACAGAGCTAATACAAATGCATATAAATGAATGGGAACTGCAGATGGGCAATGAAGTGGGCCTTGAATGTACCAGAAGGAAGAGAGTGGGCTAAAATGTTAACACATCAAGTGTCTGTCAATTCACTGATTTGGGAACATCCTCCACCAAAGCAGTATACGACAGTAATTCTTCAAGAGATTAACTGAGACTGATAAATCAAATGACTTGCCCATGGCCATGTAGCTGATCAGAAATGGAACTGAACTTAGATCTTCCTGACTGCACATCTAGCACTCAATCCATTAGGGAATTAATTTCTTTGATTTTGGTAGAATTTGCTTCTAAATATTATCTAGTCCTAGGGTTTTCCTCTTTGAGTACGCATATACATCTTGTACAACTTCTTTTCCTTAAACTATTATTTAAATTCTCTCTTTCTTATTCTGATAATCTGGTTAATTTTGGATTTTTGCAATGATTCACCCATTTACCTTAAGCTGATAGTTTTATTGGCACAGAGTTGGGGAAAAGTTTTTAATCACTTATTTTATTCTTTCTCCATTTGTTGTGAATTTTTCATTTTTGATATCGGCAATTCTTTTTGTTTTTAAAAATGAAATTAACTAATGGTTTATCTATTTCATTTCCAAAAAAAGTTTAATTTATTAATTCAATGGGTTCCCCCCCCAATTTTATTAATCTCTTCTTTGTCTGCAGAATCTTTTTTTTTAAAGGCATTTGGGGTTAAGTGACTTGCCCAGGGTCACACAGCTAGTAAGTGTCAAGTGTTTGGTCTGAGGCAGGATTTGAACTCAGGTCCTCCTGACTTCAGGGCTTGTGCTCTATCCACTGCGCCACCTTGCTGCCTCTTGCAGAATAACTTTTAATCCTTTCTTCAATGGCTCCTTACTGAATATTTTTTTTTATTGTACTGTGGTAAATAAAGGAGGCATTTAATATTATTGCTTTTCTTCATTCGGTCAGTTTTTGTTGTTGTTTTTGGGTTTTTTTTACTAGGCAATGGGGGTTAAGTGACTTGCCCAGAGTCACATAGCTAGTGAGTGTTATATGTCTGAGGTCACATTTGAACTCAGTTCCTCCTGACTCTAGGAGGGCTGGTGCTCTATCTACTGCACCACTGAGCTGCCCCTCTGCCAATTTTTTTAAAGGTGTCACGCACAACTGAGAAACATGTACTCCATTCTATTTCCCTCTGACAACCGATGACATTAGGGTTCTAAGTGACAATTGTTTCTTTGTCCCTTATTAGAATGTAAAAACTTCATCCTCGGAATATATACTCCTTTCAGTTGCTCAAACATATCTACCTTTTATGCTTCTTTTGAATCCTTCAAAGATTCTATTCTATTTTTTATCAAGTGTGCTTGGAAGCCCTACATTCTATTAAAGACCCATTTTCCCCTCAAAGGATTATGCTGAGTTTTGCTGGGTAAATTCCACCCAGCTGACAGAGGTTAGAGATAGGAGCAGTTTACTGGAACTTCACCCAGGGGCATGCCTGCCCTTGGGAGCTGGCAAAGATCAAAAAATAAGGTAGCAATCAGAAGTCACATTAGATCTGACTTCTCAGGGCACACTACATATTTACAAGAGAAAAAACTGGAACATGGTAGAGAATGAAATCCAGTCAATCCTTACTCTTTCCAAATTTTAAAACTTAACCCCTTTCTTTAGAAACAACACTCAGAAAGACTGGGTTGGTGTTTGAATGTTTATCTGCATTGATAATAAATTACATGGCCATTAACAATAATTTCACGGTTTAATACTGAAAGAGGTGAAGCTAGCCTATATGAGAAGAGATTCCCTCACAGCTTTATTCTGGTGTTGGGCTGAACCTAATAGAGTGTTTGTGCAATATAAGTAGTTTCTGAAAATATTATACAACATATCCACTGAATCAGTAGCAGAAGGGGTAAGGAGCTCCCATGGCTGCTCCCAAGTTCCTCTGAAAAGTAGAGCATCACAGCCCCACACCCCACAAAAGCTATACTGTCACTGTCGTCTGCTTATTAATGGCATATTACAGACACCTATTCAGGTTTGTATGAGTTAAATTTTGGAGGAAAGGGGTAGCTAGGTGGCACAGCATATAAAGTATTGGTCCCGGAGTCAGGAGGATCCGAGTTCAAATTCAGCCTCAGACACTTGACACTTACTAGATGTGTCACTTAACCTCAAATGCGTCACCCCCCCATCAAAAAAAAAGGAAAATAAGACCTATTCAGACTAATAAAATATTACCAAATATTTTGTGATGTGACCCTAAATGAAATTAAAATTTAAATATTATTTATTTACATGAATTCAAGTTCCCCAGATAGTTACTTTTCCCCCCCATTCAAACTTTTATAATACTTTCTTATTTTAATCCACCTAGAATACATAGAATGGTCAGGAGAAAAAAGCACATTTTTTAACTTACCTTCTGCTAAGACAAAGCATGACTCTGTATATAAACCACTATGAAACTGGTATTCATTAGTTCAGGAAAATAATGGAATCTTTCTTTGGCAGGGGTGGCATGGTGGTAGAGGATCAGAACCTATGATTTTGCCAGGGAACTCCTGATATGGAAAACTGCCTTCAGAGATACAGATGAAATCTATTTTACAGTGTGTCTTGGGCAGTAAGATAAAAGTAATTTGCCCATGATCACACAACTAGATAAATATCAGAAAAAAAAATTGAACCCAGGTCACCCTTGCTTTAAAGGCAATCATCTATCCATTATACAATGTTTTCTCTCAACTAATAAGGCATCTTTAATGGTGATACAATAATGGTCAACATAACGCTATAGCCAAACTCTACTTTCAGATACATTTAACGTTTATAACTGTGGTTACACCACAGCCAAACAAAATTGTATATATGCGTTTTGTACTACATGATTAATCCCAAGGAGGCTTGCCTTATTAGGATGGTAAAGAGAATTTTTAGCATCCCTAGAAATCTTCATTTCAGAGTGACTTGTTAGGACTCCCAGGGAAATTTCTTAGTGGGTAGAGAATAAGGTTATAAAGCACATAATACTATATCTGTGGACAAAATGATTTTATTCCTTTTCTCTACAAAACTCATACTGATAATCCAGACAGGTCATTCTGTGGAAGAGATGTAATTAATTTTCTCAATTCATTAATAAGCTCCTCTGGAAAAAAAAATATTGCTTCTTGATACAGAAAGGATATGGCTTTACTAAGATTCAGTTGCACTGTTCCTGTAGGATCTTCCAAGAAATATTTCCCCTAAAAATATTAAAAGAAAAAAGTAAAAGCATATGCAAAAATTAGCAACTGCTTCCTAATCAAAAGTAACAATTATCATAATGTAGTATGGTGGAAATAGCATGGACTAGCAGTCCAAACACCTAAGTTAAAATTCCAGATCTGCTACTTTGTTAGACATGGCAGTATGGGAAATTTATTTAATTTGATACTCAGTTTCCACAACAATAAAAGAGATACCCCTACCTCTACCACACAACAAATGAGATAATATACGTAGAAGCAACTTCTCGTCGTTTGGTTGTTTCAGTCACGAACAACTCTTGGTGACCCCGTTTGGAGTGTTCTTGGTACGGAGATTAGAGCAGTCTGCCATTTCCTTCTCCAGCTCATTTTACAAATGAGAAACTGAGGCAAACAGGATTAAGTGATTTGCCCAGGGTCACACAGCTAAGAAAGTGTCTGAGGCTGAATTTGAACTCAGGAAGATAAGTTTTCCTGACTCCAGGACTGGCCACCTAGCTACCAGAAGCAACTACACTGGGCTAAATAAATAGAAGGTAGTATTATTTTCCTTATAATTAATAAAACAAAAGAGCAAGCAAAATATACTCAATAACCCAGACTTCCTTTTCTAAACAGAGTTCTTTCCTTTGTTCTATTATATTCAACCTATTTTTTATCCATACTGCAACGTCCAATTCCTCTACCCCTCCCTACTCTTTCAGGACATCACTCAAGCTCTGACTTCACCTTCTTCCTTTCCCGATCCTTCTCCTGTGGTTAACAAATTCAACTCCATTCTGTCCTCTACTCTCAAATCCTTTGGTCCTCTGTCCTTTCACTGCTCATGTCTTGTCAAAATCCAAACCAGGATTAATTTCAATATTGACTACTTGCTGAGCTAGGAAAAGACCCAAGAAAGCTAAATGGGTCCACTAAAAATGCACATTATCTACAATGATCAAACACAATTCCAGAGGATGAATAGTTAAGCATACTACCCACCTCTCAACAGAGAAAAGCGCTGACTCAGGGCAGAGAATGAGACATACATATACATACTGATGTATGCCTGTATACATATATACGTATACATACAGAGAGAGAAAAAAGAGGAGAGAGAAAGTCACACAATGGGGGCAGCTAGGTGGCGCAGTGGATAGAGCACTGGCCCTGAAGTCAGGAGGACCTGCGTTCAAATCCGGCCTCAGACCACTTGATATCACATTGACTAGCTACATGACCCTGAGCAAGTCACTTAAACCCAACTGCCTTAAAAAAAAAAGTCATACAATGAAGCTAACTGGGTCCATTAGAAATGTACGTTATCCATAACGACCACAGAATTCCAGAGTTGATTCTGATTCCGAATACTCTCTCTTCTCTGGACTTTCCTGATAACACTCTCTCCTGATTCTCCTCCTGTCCTTCCGAGCAGACCTATCATTTCCTTTGCGGTTAATGATTCACACATCACACTCTCTAACTGTGGATATATCCTAAGACTGCATCCTAGAGGCCCTCTCTTTCCACACTGTGTCACTTGATCAGCTAAAAAGCATTTATTATAACTATGTGCCAGGCATGCTAAGCCCTGAGGATATAAAGAGCTCCCATTGGTTCAATTATCACCCATGTGAAGATGACTCTCAGATCTGTATATTCAGACCTAGTTTTTTACCTGAGTCCCAGTCCCATATTTCCGACTGGCTACTGGGTATTTCATGTTCCGTAGGCATATCAAACTTAGTGTGTCTAAAACTGAATTCATTACCTTCTCCACCCTCGACCCTACCTACATACAGCTAGCAAAGTATCTGTAATGGAATCTGAATTGGAGTCTTCCTGACTTGAAGTCCAGCATACTATCTTTTTTATAGCAGAGGTGTCAAACTCACAGCCAGCAAAACTGCCTAGTGCTGTCCTAAGCAGATTAAATGTATTTGGGAAATGTCAGTTTGTGGTTTTTCTAAGTCAAAATGCAGCTTACGGGGATTCTTTTCTATCTGAGTTTATTTTATGTTGTTTTATACAAACTGCCCTTTCTCCAAACAGATCATATGAGTGCACATCTATAGCTGACTCCTGTGTGTTTCCTTGATTCAAGCACATGCTGTTCTTGCTTTTCATAATTTAGGCCACGTGGACTATGTAGGGGAAACACAACAGCACTACATGTCTAGTGAGGAGGGTTTAATGCCTTTGCTATGTCATCTAACCTCGCTGGGCCTCCTTTTCCTTATACGTAAAATGAAAAGACTGGTCCAAGTCTCTCAGGTTCCTTCTGTGCTTGACGTGCTATGGTCCTAGTTCTGTCTCTTAAGATTCTGGTCGTGCTTCTCAATATAGGAAAAGTGAGACAGTTCAAAGCCTTAAGATTCACAGTACCCATTGATTTAGTGGCTAATTCTAACAACATTTAAGATTATTCTTCTGTACCAGTGATTGATTAGCTCAGTTAGGATCCTGCAGTATCTTAGTTCTGGATACTTTATAATCAATTTTATGAAGAAAAGGTTAAGTAGCAGACATGTGAGAGAAAGAACAGAAGGAACTATGAACTTTGTAGGAAGGTTTTGTACAACTGAGGTTTAAAAAAAAAGTTTCCCTAAATCAAAACGCTGAATGTAAAGCAGTTTAAGTGTAACCTACCTCTTTCATTTGGATTATCATCCCAAGAACAATCACTTCTCCAATTTTGGCTGTACTGCCCAATAAGGTTTCTATTGCTTTAAGCTAAAAGAAAAAAAATTTCTCAGACTTACAAATGCATACATTCAAGAAATTTACTTCTAAAAGCTAAATGTTTTATACAATATTGACAAATGATTATTAAAATTATATGATAAGCTATTTTTTAAAAATCCTAAACCTGCACCAAGACTTTTTAGGACACTGTATAATTCATGTCTGTTTAAAAACTTTTATGCGCATTCCAATGCTCTCAAAAAAATTTTAGTTCAATGTCTCAAATTCATGTGAAGGTGATCTTGGATTCTCAAAGGCTATAGCTGCTGTTTGTCCTTTGTTCTCATTTGGAAAGGCTTCAAGTATAGTCTCAGCAATAGAATATACTTGATTTTTGAGGAGCAGCACAGCTGGCACAAAGAATCTTATCACTAACAGGTTGGTCATTGATGAAAAATTCTTTGGCTCCAAAATGGTGCTCAGTTTTGTGCTTCTTTACTAACGTTTGCAGTAGAAAAAAAGATGGTGCTAAGAATTATAGAGACCATCTATAAATACTAACTTACCTAAATGTGAAATCCTTGCCAGTGACCAATAAACGGATATGCTATTGAAAGAATTTAACTGAATCAATCTCTACATTCTCGCTATAAATTAAATCTGAAGGCAAAGGTTGCAGCTTAATGGAAGGACAGGTTCTTCTTGGGAAGGCAAATAAAAGAACTGGGAAAGTTGGTTTTATCTTGTGCCCAAAGGCAGTAAGAAAAATAAATTCTTAGGACACGTGGTCTCACATTGTAGAGCTCATGATGCGAATTTGAGAAAAAGACCAACATGAAAACGAATTATTGCAGATGTATTATAATACCTGTTTAAGTAGATGAAGAGGTAGAAAAATTCTATAAAGAATTTGATAAGATGCTCCAAGTTAAATCAACATATACTCTGATACTCAGTAAATCTGATGGAAAGGTGGAAATAAGTATGTATGACTAAAAATGTCAGAAAATACAGTTCAAGTAAGTAATGAGTGAAACCAAAGACTTTTGGACCACATATAAGCCTCATGCCTCTGCCTTTGGAATAGTTTAAGAATCAAAAGGTGCCAAACACAATAAATGAAATTGATAGTATTTTAACAGAAATGAAATGGCTTGTTATTGACACCAAAAATTAAGGAGATTGATGAAAGAACATCAACAATTATATGCATATATACACACAAGGGTCATCCAATTTGCATAAATATAAAACAATGCTACGATGAGGAAGTTAAAAGAGCCTAAAGACCACCTTAGTCAGCAAACACACTTGACTTATTTGCCCAGGAGAAAGAGATGGCATAGAACTCATTTGTAACATCTTATAGAAAGGATAAACAGAAGACAACTTGTGGTACCACGTATTAAAGCTTAAAACTGCATTAAGACTTTTCGAATACCCTGTACGAGATAGTTCTTGAAATGCTAGCTATATAGCATAACACAAGAGAACAAAATTAAAGGCATAAATTTTAGCAAAGGGTAGAAAAAACTATCCTTATTAGCAGACAATATCATGGTGTAGTTAGAAAATCCAAGGAAATCAGCAAAGAAGCTAAGATAATAGCTATAAAAAGATTGCACAATGCAAAATAAATCCACAAAACCATTAGCATTATATAAGCACTAAAATTCAGAAGGAACAATTAGAAAAATTACATTCAAAATAATAAATTATAAAACACTCTTGACAAAAATAAAGGGAGACAAATAACTAGGAGATATATCAACAGTTTAGATTTCTTTCTCTAAAAATTGCCAGTTCATATCATTTAACCTTATATATGAGACCCTTATCAGAGAAATACTGCAAATTCCCCCTCACCGCACCCAAAGTTATCTGTTTTTCTTCTAATTTAGCTACTTTGATTTTGTTTGCCCAAAACCTTTTGGACTTAATGTAATCACAAGTTGCCCATTTTACCTTCTGTGAGCTTCTCAATTGTCTTTGTTTGGTCGTGAACTCTTCCCCCATCTGAAAGGTATTTTTTTTTTCTGGCTCCTCTAATTGTTTATGATGTCATGCTTTATGGCTCTCTTTCTGACAAGAGCTGATAGGAAAACTATGAAGGAGTTTGGCAGAAAATGTTTTAGACCAACTTTTCAGACTTATACTACAAAAATCATAACACAAATACATGACCTGAATTACAAGGTTATCCCATAAAGTAAATTAGAAGATAATGGAATCAGAGACAAGTGGTCAAAGAATGTGTACAGTTTTTTTTTTTAATTAATGATTTTTAGTTTTCAACAATCACTTCCATAAGCTTTTGAGTTTTAAATTTTCTATCCTTCCCTTCACATCTCCCTCCCCAAAACTGTGTGCAATCTGATATAGCTTCTACATACACATTCCTATTAAACATATTTTCACATTAGTCATGCCGTAGAGCATTAGAACCAGTTGGAGGAACCACAAGAAAGAAGAAACAAAACAAAACAGAAGGAAAAAAAAGAGCAAATACCATGCTTTGATCTGTATTCAAACTCCATAGTTCTTTCTCTGGATTTGGATAGCATTTTCCATCATGTGACTTTTGGAGATGTCTTAGATCCTTGCACTGCTAAGAAGAGCTGAGTCTATCAAAGTCAGTCATCGCACAATATGGTTGTTATTTGTACAATGTTTTCCTGTTTCTCCTTACTTCGCTCAGCATCAGTCCACACACGTATTTCCAGGTTTTTCTGAAGTCTACCTGCTCATCATTTCTTATAGCACAACAGTATTCCATTATATTCATAACAACTCGTTGAGCCATTCCCCAATTGATAGGCATCCCCTCAATTTCAGATTTTTGCCACCAGAGAAAGAGTTGCTATAAATATTTTTGTACACGCGGGTCCCTTTCCCATTTTTATGATCTCTATGGGATACAGCCCTAAAAGTTTTATGGCTGGGTCAAAGGGTATGCACATTTTTATAGCCCTTTGGGCACGGTTCTAAATTGCTCTCCAAAATGGTTGGATCATTTCACAACTCCACCAACAATGCATTAGTGTTCCAGGTTTAGAAAAATGCAAATCAAAACAACTCTGAGGTACCACATCACACCTTATCAGACTGGCCAACATGACAAAACAGAAAAATGATAAATGCTGGAGAAGATGTGGGAAAATTGGAACGCTAATACATTGTTGGTGGAGTTGTGAAATGATCCAACCATTTTGGAGAACAATTTGGAACTATGCCCAAAGGGCTACAAAAATGTGCATACCCTTTGATCCAGCAATAGCACTTCTAGGGCTATATCACAAAGAGATCATACAAATGGGAAAGGACCCACATGTACAAAAATATTCATAGCAGCTCTTTTTGTGGTGGCAAAGAACTGGAAATTGAGGGATGCCCATCCATTGGGGAATGGCTGAGCAAGTTGTGGTATATGAACGTAATGGAATACTATTGTGCTATAAGAAATGATGAACAGGCTGACTTCAGAAAAACCTGGAAAGACTTATATGGTCTGATGCTAAGTGAAGTGAGCAGAACCAAGAGGACTTTGTACACAATAACAGCCACGTTATGCAATGACTAAGATTGTTAAACTGAACGCTTCTCAGCATTACGAGGATCTAAGACATCTCCAGAGGCCTCAGGATGGAAAATGCTGTCCACATCCAAAGAAAGAACTATGGCAGTCGAATCGCTATCACTTATTTTTACCTTCTGTTGAATTTTGTTTCATCTTTCTGATGGTTCCTCCTATTGGTTTTAATTTTGGGGAGGGTGAGGGAGAGGAAGGAGAAGAAAAATTTTCAACTCGAAAGCACGTGGAAGTGATTGTTGATAAATCAAAATAAATTTTTTTTAAAAAGAGTGATTTATGCTATCACTTATTTTTACCTTCTGTTGAGTTTTGTTTCATCTTTCTGATGGTTCCTCCTATTGGTTTTAATTTTTACTTACAACATCACTAATGTGAAAATATGTTTAACGGGTATGTAAATGTAAAGCCTATGTCAGATTGTGCGCGTCTTGGGGAGGAAAATGGAGAAAAATTTTCAACTCAAAAGCATATGGAAAAAAAAACATAAAAAAAGGAAAAAAAGAAAAAAAGTGATTTAGAGCATTTTTTCATATGTCTATAGAGAGCTTTAATTTCTTCATCTGAAAACTGCCTATTCATGTCTTTTGACCATTTATTAATTGGGGAATGACTCGTAGTACTCTTAGAAATTTGACTTAGTTCTCTATATATTTTAGAAATGAGGACCTTATCAGAGATACTGGTTATAAAGATTCTTTCCAAGTTTTCTGCTTCCCTCCTAATCTTGGTTGCATTGGCTTTGTTTGTGCAAAAACTTTTCAATTTAATGTGATCAAAATTATCCATTTTGTAACATAATGTTCTCTTTGTCTTGTTGTCATAAATTCTTCTGTTCTCCTTAAATCTGACAGGTAAACTATTCCTTGCTCTCCCAGTTTGCTTACGTTATCAGCCTTTATATCTAAGTCGTGTACCCATTTTGACTTCATTTTGGTATATGTTGTAAGATTTTGGTCTATGCCTAGTTTCTGCCATACTCTTTTCCAGTTTTCCCAGCAGCTTTTGACAAATAGTGAGTTTTTATCCCAGAAGCTGGGGTCTTTGGGTTTATCAAACAGTAGATTACTATAGTCAATAACTACTGTGTCTTACATACCTAACCTATTCCATTGATCTACCACTCTTTTTCTTAGCCAGTACCAAGTAGTTTTGATGACTGCTGCTCTAAAATACAATTTAAGATCTGGTATGGCTAGGCCACCTTCCCTATCATTTCTTTTCATTAGTTCCCTTGCTATTCTGGACCTTTTGTTCTTCTAAATGAATCATTATTATTTTTTCTAGCTCAATAGAATAATTTTTGGTAATTTGATTGGTATGGCACTGAATAAGTAAATTAACTTAGGTAGAATTGTAATTTTTATTGCAAACTATATATTTTCCCCTGAAAACATGTCATTTTTGGTATATTTGTTACATATATTAAGAAGAGGGATAAGGACTTAGGGACTGGATCTGTAATTTGATTGGTAGAGGCAACCCCCACAGGAGCAAACTCCCTCTATCAATGCAGATTGGTATTTTCTCAGCAACTTAAAGTCTTAAAGAGTTGTCATAAACACTGAAAGGTTTAGTGATTTCTCCAGGGTCAAACAGCAAATATATCAGGGGAAGGACTTGAATGCTAGTCTACCTGGCATTAAGGCTAGCTCTCTATCCACAACTGAGATTTCACCTTAGAAGCAAATCAGCAAATTAAAGATGCTCGGAGAGAATCTGCGAAGAAAGGCACACTGATACACTTGCAGGAGCTGTAAAGTTGTTCAACCACTTTGGATTTCAATTTGGAATTATGAAACAAAAACCAAATCTTTCATATCCTTTGACCCATGAATCCCACTACTGGACAGATAACCCAAGGAAGTAAAAAACAAATAAAACAGCCACAGCAACACTCTGTATGGTAGCTAAGAAATGGGAAAAAACAAACAAACAGCAAGTTCCTGTTGATCAGTGAGTTAAAAAAAAACCTATGTTACATTTGGTAGTAAGAAATAATGAATATGAGGAATTCAGAAAAATATGGTTAAATTTCTATGAAATAATGATAGAAAATTCACAAAGTCAAGAGCACAATAATGTTAATAAACAAATCATTAAAAGGCAAACTGAATAAAACTGAAGTTTTGAGTAATACCAGAAGGTCCTGGAGAAGAAACAATTAAACATATCTTCTACTGCATGACTATCATATATTTTTAAACAAGGTTTCTGTACCAAGTATTTTTGTGTAATTATTTTTCTTTGTCACAAAGGACAGCTCAACCTGGAGGAGCACTGGAAAATAACTATGGTGCCAAGGCAAGAGAAAGCAATACCATCTTTTTTTTTAAAGAAAGATAATCACAAACAAAAGGTGGAAAAGATAAGCAAAAATTTTTGCAACAAACTCTCTTCATTATGAAGAACACAGATGCCACCACATTTAGATCCTAATATCATAGTACCAGATATGCTTACACAGGAAATGGAAATAGGACTGAAGAGAACAAAGATGGGAAACTCAGTTGAACTAGACCAGATATACACAGAAAAAGAAGCAAAATTGTTTTGATGATTTTGAAAGAATGTTTTTCAAGGAAGGATGGCAGCAAAAGCGTAGAAAAATATAAGACTAATATTATTAGTACAAAAAAGGGCAACTATAAGAATATCAATAACCTAACTGTAAGCTTACTTTCTTATCTATATAAACTTTTTATGAAAATAATTTACACATGTATAGAAGGTATCCTTGATAGGGTTATTAGAAGGAAACTGACAGGTATTTGCAAGTGATCTTCTAGAGAAGACCGTGTTTGCTATCATAAAACCGAGTGACAAATGTAGAAAATATTACAAGTTCCCACTGCACTTACTAATTATTGATTTAAAATCTCTTCCAACAAGCTATATGCTGGCATATATAAAATTAAACAAAATTCCTTGAAAGACTTAACAGATAGAACCTGTTGGATGATTTTCTAATCATTAATATCAAGCAAAGAATAAAATAGGGAAATTTGGGCTTGCCAAAGTCATTTTCCACCATGCAGACAGCCACCAGGGTCCAATTCAAAGCAGGATCCACTCTAAATTTTTATGAGGTCTATCAAATATTCTGGTTCACGGACAGGTAATGCTGATTGGGTCCACTACAGATTTATGTTACATAATCTCAACTAGACCCTCACTATGGCAAGGCAATCTTTTTACACCTCCCTAATTGATTCACTATCCCATTGACCAAAGTAGCTTTTCCAAATCTTTTCATCCCTCTTCAACCTTCCTTTGCTTCCTCTCTATCCTCCCTCAGCTTAGAATTTTTGCTCCAATTTAGTAAAAATTGAAGCCATTTGCCAAGAGCTCCCTTCCCACATCACTCCTCATTTTCACATGACCTACATTTCCTCTATCCCAGTAACTGCTGGGTCATAGGAAGGGGTGGCTCTTCTCCTTGCCAAGGGAAACTCCTCTGCACATATAAGTAATTCTATTCTCTTATCTTCAGTAGATTCCCTCCAGTATCATTCCTACTCTCTTATTGATCTTCAATCTCTTCCTGTCTATGGGTGGCTTCCCTACTGCCAACAACCACGTTTCCCCCATTCTCAAAAAGCTTTCACCTTTTCTATCTCCACTAGGTATCATCCAATATCTCTCCTCTCTTTTGTGGCTAAACATCTTGAGGAGTTCATCTACAAATGGTGTCTCTACCTCTTCACTCTCTCCAGTCTGGCCTCTGATTTCATCATTAAACTAAATCTGCTCACTCAAAAGTCACAAGTGATCTCTTAACCTAATGACCTTTTAAAAGTCACCCTTCTTGACCTCTTTATAACTTCTAAGAGTGCCAGTCACCCTCTTTTACTGTCAGTCGCTCTCTTCTCTGCAGGTTTCTGTGGCACTATTCTCTCCCAGTTGCTCCTGCCTATCTGCTCCTTCTCAGTCTCTTCTGCTGGATCTTCATCCACACCAGAGCCGCTAACTATGACTGCTCTCTACAGCTCTCTTCTGGGCCCTCTTCTCCCTCTATCCTATTTCGCATGATGATCTTACCTGCTCCCATGGATTCAATCATCATCTTTATGCAGATGGTCCTTATATTTATTTATCCAGCTCTGACGACCCCCGTCTCAATTCTCCAAATGCATCTTGACAACACCTTGAAACGGATGTTTTGTAGACATCTCAACCTCAGTACGTCCAAAACTGAACACATTGTCTTTCCCCAGAAGCCCTATTACCACTATCCTTCCAGTCACCCAAGTTTACTACCTACGTGTAATCCTTGACTCCTCATTAACACTCCATGTTAATCTGTTGCTAAGGCCTGTCAATTCATACTATGTCGCGTATATGCCTCCTTCTCTTTTCTGACACTGACATCACCCTGGTCCAGGACCACTATTCTAGTTCACCTTTTTTTTTTAAAGATTTTGCCAGTTTGTTGGATGCAAGGTGAAACCAAATGATTGTTTCAATTTCACTTCTCTTATTATAGTGGAAAAGTCTTTCATATATGGTTGTTAATACTTTGCAGGTCTTCTGAGATCTGTATATCCATATCTTTGAACCACTCATCCATTAGGGAATGACTTTTGGTCTTATATATTTATTTGTGTTCTAGCTATCTATTCATAAATGTGTGTGTGTGTGTGTGTGTGTGTGTGTGTGTGTGTGTGTGTAAGTAACATCAGACCCTTATCAGAGATATTTCATAATACTTTCTCTAGTTGACCATTCCCCTTCTTCATTGCACTGTATGAAAGTTTTTCAATTTCATGTAATGGAGATTATCTATTTTATATTTTGGGCTTATGTCTCTCCCTTGTTTGGTTAAGAATGCTCCCCCTCGCTCTAACTGTAAAAAGCACCTGCTCTAGTTCTCTAATTATTTATGGTGTGACTTTTTGTATTCAGGTTTTTATCTCACTTATGGTTAGACATGGACAAATCACACAGGATGAGTAGACGTAAAAATGTTGTAAAATACCTTTTAGCTGGAAGGACTTAAATGAGATCATGGATCCATTTGAGTACATGTTGAGCTCTAACAGCTAAAGCAGTAGCTTGACAATGGATTACTAACAGCTTTAAGTATTTCTCAATAATGAATTAAGCAACATTTCATAAAATGACTTATTATACATGAAAAATTTATAAATCAAGTAGAAATATGAACCTACATGTGGAATAATCTTACCCACTCACAACCTTGTAAATAGCCAGGGTATGAATTACTAGGAGTAATAGGTATATTGTAAAAATAATTAATTTTAGTATCCACATGCTTATTGGATGTGGATGGGTTATTAAAAATAAACATGTGTTGAGTTTTTTTATACTTTCAGAGAAGTCATGATAGTTATATATATGTATAAGTGAAATCATATTGTCATATTTTTTTCTCACTTTTCTAAAATCTGACCCTGAAAGAGCAGTTCCTAGGCTACAGATTTGTAATCTGTACCACTTTTTTGTTTGTTTGTTTTTGCTAGGCAATGGGGTTAAGTGACTTGCTTAGGGTCACACAGCTAGTAAGTGTTATGTGTCTGAGGCCAGATGTGAACTCAGGTCCTCCTGATCCAGGGCTAGTGCTCTATCCACTGCACCACCTAGCAGCCCAATCTGTACCACTTTTGAGCAACAGGTTTTGGCAATCATGTAGGATGACTGCCCATTTCATACCAGCACTCTATTTGTAGATAGCGAAGTCAGAAATATAGAAAGAAACTTTAATAAGACTGAAGAGAGGCAACAAATACAACATGATTTCATTTAAAATGATTTAAAAGTACTATGCAATGTTTTAGACAAGGCAAAGAGAGGACTCCAAAGTGTTTCACAACTCAGCATTCAAGTTCCACAGACATGCTCAATATAAGAGTACATGTTGGTGAGTAAGTAATATCATTTTCCAAAACTCCACAAATGAATTTGGTCTCTAGTGAACTCTTCTGATACACCTTAGAGCTCTAATACGAATTCTTATAATTAGAATTCTGCCTCCTTTTCATCTTACTGAGAAGGGCAACATTACAGTAGTTTATAAAAAGACTACCATGTCATTCTATTTCACTTAGAATTCAAGAAACCAAAAACCAAAAACCATAAATAAGTAGAAAACCTATTTATTCACTCACCCCAGAGTTCTAGTAAAATATTCTAACCTGAAATTTGCTTCTTTCATCAGGACGAGCACCTGTTGCTAGAGGAGTAAACAATTCATGTCTTTGGGTTCTCTATGAAAAAAGAAGATTTACTTGGGTTAATGAGGCAGACATTTCTTAATCCTTGAGACTCACCATAGTAGTTTGCTTAAAAATTATTTTATAATTGGCATTATTCAAATAACTACAACAATCCTAAAGGAGTAAACATGGAGAGGAAAAAACTCTGGTAAAATATAACAGTAAACCTTATTACCATACTGCTCAATTTAAAGGATTAAGGGAAATATCTATCGTTTCTTTCAGTTCACAACTGTGTTAAATTTTTTCAAGGAATGTACTTTGTAAGGGAATTTGTTGGGAAACTCTATTGCATCAAAACAAAATTAATCAAAGTTGTTTTTAAATAAAATAAAACTAGCATTACTGAAAGCTTGCTAAATTTGCAATTCCAAATATCAAAGATTAAAGAATTTAAGAGAATTAATTTCATGGCTTATCCAACCTACACTAATAATATTCAGTTCTCTAAAGCTGACTGAAAATATTCCAAATGCCTCAGCTATTGCAGAAGAAATAACTAGCTCTAAATTTATTTTTTAAAGCCTCTATTTCTCTAAAATAAAGGCTTATCATCCTTTGCTCCTTGTAATATTCAGTCATGGAGTCTTGGCCTGATAGATTTGTTCTGGTCAAATATGGCCTTGAGCTAGATAAAGAATTGTGAAAGAAATCTGGAGTGTGAGAAGAATGTGAGGTAGTGAATTTAGAGAGAAGAAATGTGGGAATATCTGTAGAGAAACTAAAGAACTTGAAATAAAGGAGAAAAAGGATGTGAAAAGACCTAAGCAGAAGGACTTGAAGACAAAAAAAGGAGAAAAGCAAAAGGACTCAAGTTAAAGAATATGAACTGAAGTAGGTACAAAAATGATCCTATCCTATGCCCAATAATTCCACTGTTGGGAATATACCCTTAACGTGTTATAAAACAACAGCAACAAAGAGCAACTCTGTTAAACACTGCTGAAGCAGGATTAACGGGATTGGAAAGTCAGGGGTAACCATTAGCTGTTGTTTGTCCTTTATTCTCAAAGAGAGTGACATCAGGAAAGTGATGTCCTGACTAGCAAGTGAGGAAGGGCTGTGCAAAGTGACCAGCCTCACTCTCTCCTCCAGAACCCTCTGGGGTCCAGTGAAAAGATATAGATCAGGAGGACTGCAGATGGTCCTGGATGTAGCAGGAGATCTTGGCCTTTTTATGCTAAGCTCTTTCCCAGGTCTCAGTTTGACTGAGGCAATGCCCACTCAGTGATTAAGGCTAGGTAAGAAATAAGGTAAAGAATGACTTCTTTTAACTAGTAAAAACAAAGAAACAATCTGGGAGAGGAAGAACCTCAGGGTTTCTGGCCAAAACAGAAACAATTACTACAAGAACCCAAACAATGACCAAGTGAGGTTTGGGGTGGGACCTACTGTGGGCCAATCAATGAGAGCCAGAGTGATTTGGGTTTAAGGCAAGTTCCTTAAGAAAGAAATCTAGCCCATAAATCCCAAGATATTTTGCAAGGTTTTAGCTATCAAAATGTATATTCCGGGCAGCTAGGTGACAATGGATAGATCACTGGTCCTAGAGTCAGGAGGACCAGAGTTCAAATTCGGCCTCAGACATTCAACACTTACTAGCTCAGTGACCCTGAGCAAATCACTTTTAACCCCAATTGCCTTACCAAAAAGCAAAAACAAAAAAAGAAAGAATTTTATATTCCTTTGGGCAGAGCACCCACAGGAAAGGAGGGAGAGAAGGAGCACTGCTCAACTGGAACTGGCTAGCTGGGTTCCCAGTGGGGCAGCTACTACTTTGTTTGTCCTTATTTCTCCAAGAGGACCAATGCTATCAGGAAGGTGACGTCCTGACTTGTAAGTGAACTGGATTTAAGCGAGGCAGGGCTGTGCAAAGCCGCCAGCCTCACTGTCTCTTCTTGAGCCGTCTGGGTCCAGGGGCAAGATCTTAAGTCTCAGTTTGACTGAGGCAGCCCCCATTCAGTAATTAAGAAGAGGGTTCTCATGTAAAATGGACTAAATTTTCTCATTAAAGTAAAAGATGTAGTCCTCACCTGAGAGAAATTGGGGAAGTAGAGGTGTGGGAGGCTTGAAACAGCTTCTGACATATGGAACCAATTAGAAAACAATAAAAGGATTGCCTTGCTGTAGTGAGGGCCCAGTCAAAACTTAATTTATAATGTACCCAGTCAGCAGAGTTATATGACTTCCGTTAGCTCTGCTCAGCAGCACAAATGGGGGAAAGGAGGTAGAGAAGAGAGGAGGAAAGGAGAGGAGAGAAAGGGAAGTAAAAAAGAGAAGGGAAGGGAGGGAAAAAAAGAGAAGAAGCATTTATTAAGTGCTTACTGTGTACCAGGCACTATTCTAAGTGCTTTGTCCATTCAAAAATGATCCTCATTTTACAGCTGAAAAAACTGAGGCAGACAGACATTAAGAGACTCGCCCAGGGGCCACACAGTATCTGAGGCTAAATTTGAACTCAGGTCTTCCTGACTCCAGACTCAGCGCTCTATTGTGTCAACAAAATGCATGGAGTCATCCAGGGCTAAGGTTTGGCAGGGCAGTAAGAGAAAGAAAAAGGCAGTGAGAAATTTAGAAGAAAACAGTGTAGAAGAATTCAATTGGCTGACAATTAGTCAAGATTGTAAAGCGAGGAAAGTAAAGTGAGATCAGAAATGACGGCTCATCATAGAACCAAAAGCCACAAAGGCACAGTGAAGGGGATGGGCAAGTGTGAAGAGGGAAATGGGGAGTTAGGGTTAGAGAATGAGGTTAACAGCCTGGGAGATAGGACTGGCGATAGCTCGCTCCTCTGCAGCTGGAGAGAAACAGGGCAAGAAACAGAACTCTACTGGGGACTTGGAGGGAGGGACTGAAAAGCTGCCATGATACTTTATGCATGGCTACTAAACAAGGTTAATTGGTTTACTAGTATTCAATATTATGTTTTTCATTCAGAAGCTAATTTTTAAAAAGAAATACAGAAGATGGATCCAAAGGGCAGGTTACAGAAGGTTAATACAAGAATACCATCACAAGTACTAAACTATTTAATATGTACTAAGACTAGCAAGGAAAGCTATAGACACCAAAAAGAGTTGACAGGATGTTTTATGGGAGAAATAAAAAGGATTAGAGAGGGGAATAGGACAGATGAGGACAGATGTGACAATGATAAAAAAAGAACCATTCAATTCCTGTTTTGTTTCTGCTTTCTCTGTCAATAAAAGTGGTCTTTGGGCTGGAAAGGCCAAACAGAAATGTCTAAGAGGCATTACTGGTCTACTGTAGCAGGAATCTGAGATGAGCAAAGAGAAAGTGGATAACTGAGCTTTGCTTAATAAATTTATGTTACTTGGCCCAGATGAACTACATCCTAGGATAATGACATAATGGGCAAATGTAACAGAAACACTGTCAATGTTTTTTGTTTTGGGGTTTTGTTTTGTTTTTTCAAGGCAGTTGGGATTAAGTGACTTGCTCAGGATCATACAGCTAGTAAATATCAAGTGTCTGAGGCAGGATTTGAACTCAGGTCCTTCTGACTCCACAGCCAGTGCTCTATCTACTGCACCACATAGCGGCCCTGTCAATATTTTTTGAAAAAAATTTAAGGAAACAAGAGAGGTACCACGGGACTCAATTAAGAGAAATATTGCCTCAATTTTCAAATAAAAGACTTGAATCTGCAAACTATAGGCAAACTTGGTGTAGTCTTTGTTTCTTGCCAAAATTTTACAAAGTACTATTAAAGGGATTGTTAACAACTATCTAGCAGAGTAAGAATTAATGAAATAAAGCCAGGATATTGGGCATCTTCCAGAAAAAGTCATGACAGATTAACCTCAGGGGCATGTTGTAAATATAGTTTACCTAGCTTTTAGAAAGCCTTTGACAAAATCAATCATAATAATGGGGTACAGGACCAAGTCGGCCCCCAAAAAACCCTTTCTGGAACTTTCCTTGAACTCTCTGGCAGTTGCCACAGTCCTATCAGCTGGGCTTTCCTTATTGCTTAAGCCCAGTCTCCCAATTTTTTGTTACCCTAATTGAGCCTAGCCCTCCATTGTCTGTTACCACAGCCTGGATGCCCCTTGCCTCCATTTCCCATCCAGATCCTCCCTAGACCCCCCTCCAGTCACCCCAGCTTACTGGCCACTCCCATCAAAATACTCCTTCTCCCAGGTCCCTCCTCCAGTCACTCCAAACTCCTTGGCCACTCTGAGATCCCTCCCACAGTCTTTCTGTATATAAGATCCATCACGGCTGCCACGTGGGGGCTGAGATTTCTCATCTTTACGAGTGGCACAAATCTCTAGATTCCTTAAGAGTCTGGCCAATATGGCTGATCTTTAACAAACCTTGCCTTTGACTCAAAGAAGGCTTGGGTCAAATTCATTTGGGCAGGACCCACGTGTCATGATTTTGGGGTCCAGCACCCCTAAACCTCAACAATATTATTGTTATGAAAAACATGGGTAGGTGTGGACTAGATGATATTAGAGTTACATGGATTCAGAATTAGTTGAATAGCCAGATCCAAATGACAGTCATTAATGGGTATATGTCCACTTGGAATAAGGTCTCTAGTGGGGTGCCCTGTGCTATTTAGCATTTTATTCAATGATCTGGATAATGGCAGACATTGTGTACTTATTAAATTTGCATATATCACAAAGTTGGAAGGAGTATCAAATATATTGGATAAATATTAGGAGAAAAAAAATTTCAACAAATTAAGATGTGTAGCTAAATATCTAAGATGAAATTTTTTGGTGAAAATGATTACATCTGGGTTAAAACAATCAACTTTACAAATTACAGGGGAAGATGAAGCTAGACAGGAATTTATCTGGAAAAAAATTCAGGAATTTTAGTAAACTTAAAGCTCAATGAGACAACAGTAAGATATGACAGCCAAGAAAACTAATACAATATTAAACTTCACCAAGAAAGGTTTAGCCTCCAGGAATAATAAAGTAGAAGTATATGCTGCCTTCATATTGTTTTCAATTTCTGGATATCACATTAGGAAAGACATCCATAAGTTGGAAAGCCTCTAAAAGAAAGCATTAAAAATAGGGAAGAATCTTGGGATTATGCCCTGTGAAGATTTGTTGAAGGAACTAAAAAATTTAACCTGAAGTATTGAAGACTTTGGGGGAAATATAGTAACTATCTTCAAGTGTTTGAAAGATGAATGCAACTTGTTCTCCTTAGCTCCAGAGGACAGGATTAGAACCAAAGAGAAGTTGCAAAGAGACATATAGAACAATTATATATCTAGGAGTGGTATGGGCTTGGCCAGAAGGTAACGCTTTCCCCCCTCCTGGGAATTTTGAAGCAAAGGCTAAATGACCCACTGTCAAGCAAATTATAGAGGAATTCCTCCTCAGGGATGGCGTGGAGCAGATGGCCTCAGAGGTCCCTTCAAAACCTGAGATTCCAAATCCGGCCTCAGACACATAATATTTCCTAGCTGTGTGACTCTGGACAAGTCACTTCACCCCAATTGCCTCACTAAAAAAAACAAAAACAAACCAAAAAAACCTTGAGATTCCATAATTCTTTGATTTTTCATACAGTGTAAGAAAATCCTTTTCAACATACCAAACATAGGGTCAGCCAATGATTGCCTAAACATGACAAGTGACAGAGAACTCACTAATAAATGAGTCATTCTGTCACATAAAGATGTCAGAAATATTTTACGTGTGTGTGTGTGTGCGTGTGTGTGTGTGTGTGTGTGTGAGAGAGAGAGAGAGAGAAATTTCATGGCAGTTTGAAGGCTGAACAGGAAATTCTCATGTGAGCCATGAGATCAAAATAGGGTGAGAAGGGCAACAGTCTTTATCAAATAAATATCAACTTAAAGTTTATTATTGATCCTAAATATCAGTTATTTCAGCATTACCTAGCAAATATTCCATTTTAATAAGCAAATGAAAATGATTTGCCGAAGATGGAAGGAGCTGAATGATTTTTTGAATGATTTTGCCACTTAATAGGGCAGAGGAACAAGTATTTTTACGCACCTACTATGTAACAAGCACTTTACAAACCTCTCCTTTGATCCTCAAGGTAACACTGGAAAGTAGGTGCTATTATCACCACTTTGCAGTTTAGGAAATTGAGGTAGACTTAAATGACTTCTCCAGGGTCACACAGCTAGTGTTGGAGGCTGGATCTGAATCTAGGTTGTAGTAACTCTAGGCCCAGTGCTCATCCGCTGAGCTACCACCGAGATGCCTCTAACTGTTTCAGTTAGGAAATCCGGATTTCTGAAAAAAGCATTTTGGTCTAGTGGGTTTCTATCAAACATGACCTTAGAAAACAGAGGCTTCATGTATCCCAGAATGACAAGGAAAATCATGCGGACCAGTTCTCATGTTCCACTTTTCTTCAGGCTATAGTCATGTTTGCAATGAATACAGTGGGAAAAAAAAATCAGTCAACAAGCATTTTTTAAGTGCATACTATGTACCAGGTACCCCAGTACTAGGGAACAAAAAGGCAAAAATTAGATAATCCCTGCTTTTAAAAGCTTACATTCGAACATGGGAGACAACACGTACATTCATGGGTACATACAAAGCAATACAAGGACTAGTGTCCTCCTCCCTACAAATTTACCTTGTATTTATTTTTAATATATTTTGTTTGTACTTATAGAAGTTTATAATTGGTACTAAATGTAATAAACAGGGAACTACTAGAGTTATTGAGGGGAGGGAGGAGATAACATGGGCAGACCTATAATTAAGGAAAATCATTTTGGCAGCTGTGTAGAAGACAGGTTGGAATAGGATTGGGCTTGAGGCAAGGAGAAAAATTAGGAGGCTACTGCAAAAAAAATATATCGAGGGCCTGAGATAGGACTGTGGTTTGAGTAGAAAGAAGAAAACATATTTGAGAGATGTAAAGATAGGGAAAAAAAGATCTGGAAATTAGTTAGCAAGAAGGATGAGGGAGATATCGAGAAGATGACTCCAAGGTTGTAAACCTGTGTGACTAGAAGACGGTTGTGTCCTTAACAGAAATAGGGAAGTTTAGAAAGGCTGCCAGGGATGAGTTAGTGAAGAAACAGAATGAGTTCTGCTTTAGACCTGTTGAGTTGGAGGTGCCTACAGGACATCCAGTTCAAAATGTTCAGTAGGAAGCTGGTGATGTAGGACTGGAGCTCAGAAGATACATACACACATACGCGCACGCATACATACATATATATATATATATATATATATATACACACACACACACACACACACACACACACACATATACATACATGTGTGTGTGTGTGTGTGTGTAGAGAAAGAGATGTAGTGTCCCAAAAGTCTTAGTAACTGAGTTTTAAGCTATTGAAGCTATACAGGGACACTCTATCTAGATCTTGGAGATAACTTCATAGAAATAATCATTAAGCCCACAAGAAGTGACAACATGACCAACTGAGAGAGCACAGAGGAAAGAGGTATGGACAGAGCTTTAGGATACATCCACTATTAGGAAACATGGTGTGAATGATGATCCAACAAAGAAAACTAAGAAGAAGCAGTCAAGAAAGTAGGAAGACCTAAAGCAGAACGGTATCACGAAAACCCAGAGAAGATAGGGTACCTAGGAGGAGAGGATGGCCAATAGTGTCTAAAGCTGCAGAATTCAAGAAGGATGAGGACAAAGATAAAGACACTGTATTTGGCAATTTAGAGATCATTAGTAACTTTAGGGAGAGGAGATGCAGATGAATGATGGAATTAGAAGTCAGATTGAAGAAGGGAAGAGAAAACTCATGGCAAACAGCCTCAATTTTCTTGGCAAGTACAAAGGAGAGGAAGAGCTGGTTATTCTAACTCTGTTACTAACTAGTTCGTAACCACAGAAACTTTCTGGGCCTTAGTTCCTTCTTCTGCAGAATGAGGTTGATTGGACTAGATGATCTCTAAGATTCCTTTCAGCTTCCAATCCTATGATCCTATAATACTTATTATAGTAGTTTAAATAGGTAAAGGGATTACCTAAATATTTTCTGGAGAATAAGAGAAGATGTTCAGATTGCTAAAGTTATAAGGTATTGGGTTTTTTATGTAATATATAGAAGAAATGAACTAATTCTATTTTACAAAATCAACTTGCCCTACTCCAATAAAGCATATAATTCTTAAAGTAGAATTTAATACCATAAATAAAACATTTTCTGGGACAACACTTGAGCAGGGCTTGCAATAAAATTTCAATTTTATAACAATCTGAAACAATATCATGAATACTTGAGTACTTCAAGGATCTATAATTTCACCTGCTGTTATTCCCTTCAAGTGATACAGCTCAAAACCCTTTCCACACCTAAGTATGAGCTGTCATGACCAAAAAAGATTCATCACCTGGTTATGATGAGTATCTCCAAATTTAACTGGTCCTTAGGTGACAGACATACAGTGTGAACCCAGGATTATATACCATGGACACCATAGAATTTTGTTTTCATAATTTTATAAATTCCATATTTCATATACACAGCTGCAAAGCATGAAAATAAAAGGGATGAAAGGCACAATCAATGCAATCTATTATCAGGTTTACAATCTGTAATAACAAGTCTTCACATAACCAACTATCTATAAAAAGGTACCCCAAAAGACTATTGCAGCACTACAGAATGTTCAGGCAGGAAGGGACCTTATAGTTGATTATAAGAAAACTGAGATCTAAAAGGGTTAAGTGATTTTTTTTTAAATGTCAGAAAGTCTCCTCTAAAATACAAAATATTAAATGAATACTGGCCCATTAGGTACATCATTATCTCTATTACTAGACACTAGAAATATAATTCCCCAAATTTATCTTTACAACTACATAATGAAAATTCTCAAGTCAAATTGTAAATACCAAGTAACAAAAACCTATCTGCCTTTTTTTTTTAAACTCACCTGCTGTAAAATTGTATAACGTTCACGAAACACCTCTGCTTTGTCTCTTGCTTTCCCAAATAAATTTGGTGAAGGATGACTGGTCATTGATAGCCTGGAAAAATAAGAATGTCTTTACTCTTTTACAGTGATTATCTTGTTTCTTAAAGATATGTATGAAATGAGCACACATAAGTAGACATTTCACAATCTGTGAAAGGTAATGTGGTATAGGGAAAGAGTAAGGGGCTCAAAAGCAGGAGACATGGGTTCAAGTACTGATTTCCATGTGAAAGTCACTTAACTTCTATGAACCTTAGTTTCTGCATCTGCAAAATGGGGAGAGGGTGCTACCTAATTCATAGGGTTGATTTCTATTGAATAAACAAAGCATTTAATAAGCCCTCTAGTCTTTGGATAGGAGTTGTATTTTAATTACAAGGCTTCTAAATAGTTGCCAGCATCAGATATTGGGCTTTTGAAGAATTCCTATGACTCATAGTTCCCAAACCCCAACCTCCCCCCATTCTTTTTTCTGGCTTTGGTTTACAAAGGGGGTATGAAACAAAGTGCATTATAGGGTTGTTGAGAAGAAAGGTGTTTTGTTTTGTTTTTTTAATCTTCAAGGGCTATATAAATGTGAGGCATTATTCTTTACATGAAAACTAATACTTAAGAAAACTTACGGTAGAAATTTCTTTCTTTCTGGATTATACACAAAGTGTGGAACATCAAATGCTCCAATTATATTAAGAATATGTTCTCTGGGGAAAAAATATAAAACACAAAATACAAAAGACCTTATTAATAAGATTCTACTTCAACATGTACCATGAAAAATGCTCTCACATTAAACTTTTTTTTCATTTCTATGTCTCAACATTTCAACAGTCATTTATCAAGCACTGATTATGTGCCAGAAACCATAGTAGGATCTGAAGATAAAAAGACAAATGAAATTCTCCTGATCTTCAAGGAATGTTCTAAGGGAAGCACTATGTACACATCATAATATAAACAAAATAAATGCAAAGTAAAGGGGGGGAATTAGAAAGGCTAATTATGAGCTGGGAAGAATTAGGAAAAGTTTCATGTAAGTGGTGTTTGAGTTGAACTTTGAATGAAACAAGGGTCTATAAGAGGAGGAAGTGAATTCCAAATGTGAGAGACAGCCTGTTCAAAGACATGGAGATGGGAGATGGAGTATGTGTGAGGTCAGCAAGAAGGTCAGTATAGCCAGAAGGAAGAGTATATGATGAGGAGTAAATAATATTTAACAAGACTAGAAAAGGTTAAATTGAAACCAGATTGTAAAAAGGTATTTGAAGCTAAATTGAGGAATTTCAACTTGCAACTTGAGGTAAAATTGAGCCACCAGAGCTAATTATTGGGCAAAGGGAATAACATCTTCAGAACTGTGCTTTAGGAAAATCACTTTGATAGCTGTGTGGAGGAAGGATTAGAGAAGGATAAGACTAGAGGGCAGAGGCAAATTAGGAGGATCCGAATATTCCAAGTTGGGGGGTAATGAGAGCACAACAAGAAAAGAGGATGATCCAACCATTTTGGAGAGCAATTTGGATCTATGCCCCAAGGGCTATAAAAATGTGCATACCCTTTGACCCAGCAATAGCACTTCTAGGGCTATATCACAAAGAGATCATACAAATGGGAAAAGGACCCACATGTACAAAAATATTTATAGCAGCTCTTTTTGTGGTGGCAAAGAATTAGAAATTGAGAGGATGCCCAACAAAACTGGGGAATGGCTAAGCAAGTTGTGGTATATGAATGTAATGGAATACTATTGTGCTATAAGAAATGATGAACAGGCTGACTTCAGAAAAGCCTGGAAAGACTTATATGGTCTGATGCTGAGTGAAGTGAGCAGAACCAAGAGAACTTTGTACACAATAACAGCCACGTTATGCAATGACTAAGATTGTTAAACTGAACCCTTCTCAGCATTACAAGGATCTAAGACATCCCCAGAGGCCTTGGGATGGAAAATGCTGTCCACATCCAAAGAAAGAACTATGGAAGTCGAATCGCTATCACTTATTTTTTTACCTTCTGTTGAGTTTTGTTTCCTCTTTCTGATGGTTCCTCCTATTGATTTTAATTTTTACTTACAACTCCACTAATGTGAAGCCTATATCAGATTGTGCACCGTCTTGGGGAGGGTGATGGGAAGGGGGAGAAAAATTTTCAACTCAAAAGCACATGGAAGTGATTGTTGATAAAATAAATTAATTTTTTTAAAAAGGGGGATGGGATATGACAGATATTGTGAACATAAGAGTTGATGAGTTAATAAATGAATAGATACGGGAGGCAAGAGTAAGAATTCAAGAGAATGACTGAGCTTTCAATGGGAGTGACTAGAAGGCCTGTAATGACCTCAACAGAAATCAGAAGTTCAGAAGAGGGCGCTTTGGGGGAAAACGTGAGTTCATTTGGATACTCTGAGTCAGCAGGAAATAACTAACAGATTAGTGGTGAGGTAGCTCAGGACACTTGGGCTACTATATAGAGCTGCACAGAAATGATTAAATCCATGCAAGCTAATGAGGTCACCAAGTGAGAGACAAGGGCCCAAGAGACAGACCTGTTTCATACAACATGGTATGATACAGATTAAATGATGTTTTGTAGGCATGAGAGAATTACTTGGGTAAAGCAAGAATTTTCATATAATTTCATTTTGTGGATAGCAGCAGTCATGTTTTTAATAACACTGGTTGACTCTCAAGGCCTGACCTTGGTCAGGTAAAACCAGAGTAAGCTAGTTTCCCCATCTGACTGCTGTATTTCATGGCTTATGTGTATTTCCTTGCTCTCTTTTGTTGTGTTTTTAAGAATGGCGTTTTAAAGAATACTTATTAGATATAGTCAAGATACTGGATATTTTTATTAATTGCTTTTCTTTGTTACGAGGAATGTTCTATCAAGAGCAGGGAGAGAGAGAGAGACAGAGAGAAAGAGAGTGTGAGTGAGTGTGAGTGTGTGTGTGTGTGTGTGTGTGTTTCAGAAAGACCCGTTTAAAGACAACAGGCTTTGGTTGTAGGGCTTTGTTTTGTTTTTAAAGTAAGGAGGGTGGGGTATGGTTGTCCAGTTGAATTGCTTGAGTTAAAATGGCTCAAGGCACCTTCCTACCACTGATGCCCTAATGAGAAATAAGGTTTCTGGTCTTAATTTCATTTCCCAAATAGATTCCCCTATTTGGTTTTCCCAAGGAGCAATTTTTCACTGTATGTTAATAAGTTGCCTTTATCTCTTAATTTGGGTTAAGTGAAACAGTTTTCTCAAAGCCTAGCCAGTAGGAAAACTGTTAAGACTAATAGAGCACAGGAGAAAAAAGGCTTGGAATACAAAGATTCCCACAAATAACACGATGAGGTTCTAATTCAAAATCACCAACTTAATGGATGAGTAGCAAATTGTCTTCTGGGATGTCTAAACCAACTAACACACAAAAATGGGCTGCCAACAAATCAATATAAAAATCTACCCTCTATTTCAAAATGCATATTAGACATTAAGATATTAAAAATCTTAAAAACCAAGAAAAATAACACATGAAAGAACAGAATAAGCATATCATTTGAATGAAAATGTCTAGAAATAACTGAACCTTCTATTACAGACAATGTTGAACACCACTTCTTTGCCTAAGGAAATCAACAAAAATTAATTTTTAATAACTTAATAAGATCATGCTTATGTCAACATACAGAGTTTCATCTACTGATTGGCTGCATTCCTGGACTGCTGCTTCCACTACATATCGTTCAATCATATTTGATGACACTGCAAAGACAATTTAAAAATTATACTTTTAAATAGTTCTTAAACATCAGCTTAATATTTTTTCTGAAAAATATTCTTAACAAAAAAAGTATCTCAATTTTCAAGAAAAATGTTTTAAGATAGGAGTTCTTAACCTGGACTCTGTGAATGTGGTGTTTATTAAAAATATTTTGATAACCACATTTTAATATAATTGGTTTCCTTTGTAATCTTATATATTTTATTCTATGCACTTAAAAAGCATTTTTCTGACAAATACTTCGGCTTCAACAGATTTCCAAATGAGTCAATGACACGAAAAAGGTTAAAAGTCCACATGCCATGAGTCATAACAGTTCGTTTCATATTATTCATATTTATAATTAAAAATGCCTGGGGCCATTTTACTCCTATTTTATATTTTTAACCACTAAGACATATGTGCAAAAGTGGCCCCAGTATATCTATAGATCTTAAAATGAGATACAGGAACTTTTTCCATCTGTGTTGTGACAGTATATTTTTGTGTCACAGATTTGATTCTCTTCCTTCTGCAATAATAGCAGTAGGAATAGATGAGAGAGCAGAATCACTGAAGACCATAGCCAGGGAAACAACACTAAAGATTTGTGCTGTTGTAATGACAACAATTGATGCACATTTAGAAGGGCCAAAAAGTCCTTGGTTACTGTTTGGAGTTAGAGGGGAGATCAGCTCTTTTGAATCAAATAGGCATCCAAGGAAAGATGGAAGTCTGAGGGGTGCTTCCCAAGTTGATGACAACTTTCTAGAAAGTCTGGTGCGATACTGCAATTTCTTCTTTTAGTTCTAACAAAATTAGAAGTCAAAGGAAGATGAGAAAAGATAGCTGTAGTAGCATCAACTATGATGTATACCACCAAATTTAAGGATCAAATTAAATTTGTAACTATGTAAACAATTTAAGAGTTACTTACAAGGCTGCTTTTCAACAGCATCAATGACACTTTCCAATGCATCTTCAAGCTCTAATTCGGGGACAAGCTCAAGAGCTTCGGTGAGATATTTAGTGGCTTCACTAACAGAAGGAAGAAAAAAAATAGGAAACTATTTTTAAAAACAGCTAATTTATACTTAACAACAAAGTACTTTTTAATATAAAAAACATGGCATTAATTACTAGACTAAAATCATCAGTCTATTATTAAAATTTAATCTTGTTCTCCTGAACAAACCATACACATCTGTGTGACTTTTGCTCATGCTAAAGCAAGAAGGCAAGAGAGGAGGCAGCATGTGCTAAGCAAGTCACACCACCACCACGGCCACAATTCCCCGCTTATACCCTGACAGGGATAGCCAAGGACCCTGAACCAAAGAGCCTTGGGAATAGTAGTGCCCACTAAACCACCAGACCTGCTTCCAGCACAAACCTAGAGAAGCAACTCTTGTGAAGAAGGGGCCAGGCCTCTGTACCTCCCCACCAACTCCACCACAGGACAGGCAAGCCAACTGAGATGAAGCAGCAAGGCACCCTGAAGGAGACATGGGAGGAGCTTTTTGCCAGGCACATAAACTACCCACACCACCACACCACCCTGATCACCATCTCCCCTCAGTCCCTGATGGGGAAAGCCCAGGACCCTGAACCCAAAAGCCTAGGAAACAATGACATTAAAGACGCATTAACATCTGTTTTTGCCACTGAACTCTAAGGTCTGCAGGACTTTTCCATCTAATATGCAACTGAAACTTTCCATGTGTTGTCTCCCTCATTAGATTGTGAACCTATCCCTAGTGCACATAGTAAACACTTATAAATGCTTTATTCATTTATTCTATATAGAACTGAAACTGGGGATCACCCAAAGGGGAATGAAATGGTAGATGGTGGGCCTATATAGGCTATAATATGTTACAAAAAAAAAAAAACAGAAGAGGAGCAGTATAAAAAGTATCATCAAAGAAATGTAGGACCATAAAAAAAACCATGGGTGGATTCCTTATCTAATGACTGGGAGGAACTAACAAAAGGCAGCCCATGTGCTCCACTAGAATTCATGTAATATCAAGAGAATAAAGGGTTCCTACCCCACTAGAAGGACTACTTACAGTGAATATAGGAGTAGGATGTGATGAACAGACATGGAGGAGATTCAGTCTGCATCACCGGAGGGCACCCATGTCACTGAGATTATCAGAGTAGTTGAAAAAAGAACTTAGATCAAACAAGTTTATAATAACAGACTTTTCAAATGAGTTTAAAATAACACACTTCATCTTTTTAAACATTTTGCATTTTAAGGTGAAATTCTTATGACTGGGAATTTTAAAGATAGACAAAACAAAAACTAAAAGCCAAAAGAAATTCTTTCAAAAATAATTTTAGAAAGTAGCTTCTATTCAGAGACTGAAAGCCAGAGATCTATTTGGTAACTCTGTGCAAAAGTGAAAAATGGATGTAAAAACATTAAAGAACTCAACCTCTCTGGATCTTTTTTTTCAATCTGCAAACACAACCTGCCAGACAAACGATTCAATTCCTACAATATGCCATATGCTTTCATATATTTTGTCTCACTGCTTCTTCCTCCCAGAATCCCTCTCCCATATCCTACTCCTGCATTAAAGCTTTCTCTAACCCCAACAGGAAATAACATTTCCCTACTCTGAACTCCCATAGTACTTTGTACCTTTAAAAAATACTTTATCATATTCTACTTAAAACTATCACGAATAATGCCTTGGATCTGTATATCATTCTTCTGTATAGTACTCTCATAAACAATCTCATTATCCATTATATTTTGCAGCCAATATGCTGGTACTCGTTATTTGCTGAAAAGAATTTAAAAGCTTTTGCCTCCTTTCTTGTTTCTTATAATCAGGAGCGATTTGACACTACTCTTCTTAACCCACCGTACTTAAGAGTGCTAGAAATAGCCTGAATTCAAATAAATACTTGTTGACTCAATTCACAAACCTAAATGCTACACAATCTTTAGTTACTTGCACGGATAAAGTGAGTTCTCCACAGCAAAAAAATTAATTTAATGCTCCATTTTAGCCAAGACATTTTTTAAAAATTAGAGTATGGGGGAGGGGGACAGGGTAAATCTAACTACAGACATACTAGCAGTTCTTCATGTTTCCCCAGGAGTGAGGTGGCGCAGTGGATAGAGCACCGGCCCTGGATTCAGGAAGACCTGAGATCAAAGCCGGCCAAAGCTGTTCCATCGTTTCCTACTCTTTGTGACCCCATTTGGGGCCTTCTTGGCAAAGATGCTGGAGGGGTTTGCCATTTCCTTCTCCAGCTCATTTTACAGATGAGGAAACTGAGAAAGCGGAGATGTCTTTCCCAGGGTAAGTGTCTGAGGCCTTGCTAACGTATAGACACAGCCTGGCCCTGCCTCCCCTTGGTCTCCTTCTCCTTCTTCTCCTCTCTCTCTCCCAGGCACTCTACCATCCAGACGCATTGGCTGCACTCCATCTCCCGACTCTGCGCCTTTGCACAGGCTGAACCCCACGCCTGGAAGGCTTCCCCTCCTCGATTCTACCTCCCGGAGTCTTTCGTTACCCGGCTCAAGCCCCCACGACTGCAGAAGCCCCCCGGGCCCCCCACCCCGGCAGATCGCCTCCATGTATCCGGTACGGCGTCTGGCTTGTACGCAGAGCTTTGCCCGTCGCATCCTGTCACCAGAGTGGAAGCCGATGGAGAGCGGGGCTTGTCATTTGCTAGTCAGCACTGATAACAGTGGGCGCTTAACGAATGCTTCCCAAACAAAGCCCGGGACGTGCCAGGTTTCCATCTCTCGCCTTCTCCGGGGGGGGGGGTCGGACTCAGACCCCCCAGCCCGGGCTGGGACCCACCGAGCTCTGGGTGGGGCTACAGCGGACTGCACAGGCCGCGAACATTCCTCGGACCCGCCTCCTTCCCACACCACCCCCTTCACGAAGCACGCCCCGTGAGAACTCACCCCCGGAGCAGATAGCCCCGCAGTTTAAAGGCAGAGACCACTTTGCTCCGCAACCGATCCGGCGCCATGTTCAGATTTTGGCGCCAAGGCAGCCCCGCCTCCTCTTCCCCAGGGCCCACCCCCCCCCGGCCCACGTGACTAGAGGACGCCGGGGGGGGCACCGGAAGTTGTCGGCACAGCGCTTCCGCTATCCGTGGGCCCGGCGCTGCAGCCGTAAGCGGCGTCCTTCTCCCTAGCTGGTCGCGCTCAGTTACGTCAGGCCCTCATGCCCCTCATGCCCCTCATGTGATTTTTTGACCCGCGATCTTCACTTATTTTCCCCCTTGAGGAGGAAAGACCTCTGGGCCAATGTTTGTAAAGGCTTGCGTTTGGAATGGGCTGGTGTTAGACGCAGCTGCTTCAATGAATAACACTGAGCACACTTTTTTTTAAGGAAGCTCATACTGGACTTAAAAAGAGGCTGGAATTATGCGAGAAAAGACACGAAATTGTACCTGGAATGCACTATTATATCCACACCTTTACGATTTTAAAATAGCTATTTTGTTCTAAATTCAGTTCGAGCATCACCTTAAAGATAACTTTAGGGACGTGATCACCACCTGCTAGGGATTAGTCCCCTCCCAATTACTTGGGCCGAACTATAACTGTTACATATTCGGTGACAGCCATGGTCATATAAATGTGCTTTTAACAGTAGGTCAATAACTCCCTTCCTTCAGAAATGACAGTCATCAGAAGTTAGATGGAGAAATCAAATTCCCTAGACTAATATTTAAGGGAACAGTTGATATATTTCTAGTCTAGTACCCTCCCTCTCTAACTTAATCACCTTTTTTTTTTATGTGTGTGAGGCAATGGGGTTAAGTGACTTGCCCAGGGGCACACAGCTAGTGTTGGGTGTCTGAAGCCACATTTGAACTCAGGTCCCTCTAACTCCAGGGCTGGTGCTCTATTCACTGCGGCAACTAGCTGCCCCCCTCTCTGACTTAGAAATTCTGACCTTAACTAGTTATCTATTTCAGTTGAGTTTTGGATTTCTTGTAATGTGTTAGTTTCATTGCTCTCTTTTGTTGTATTTTTTAATTCTTTGTGGTTTTTTTTCCAAGCATGGATATTGCTGCAGGAAAACATGGAAAAGTTATAGCTCTTAAAGAGTACAATTCAATAACTGTTAGAGCTATTGCGGTAGCTGTTGGTGTGAAGAAGTAAAGGCTCATTCAAGCTTACAATAAACCAGGATCAGTTGCACAGAAACACAAAGGAAAACTCTAACCATTGCTAGGAAGGAAAAATGCTTGTCACAGACAAGACTGGATTGAAAAAAACTATTTTTACTAATGAAATTTGCTTTTTCATTCAAGGATGTACCAAACCATTGTCAGAAGAAGTCCAGGTGAGCCTACATTTGTAAGCTTCTTGCAAGTAGGGATTGTTTTACTCGTATTTTTATCAACAATATCTAGCACCGGGCCTGGTATATAATAAGTCCTTAATAAATACTTGTTAATTGGGCTCCATCAGACTGTAAGACATCCACCCAAAAATGTTTTGGGAATTTTTTTTAACTTCTAGTGAGACTGGAAATCTTGTCCCTGTTAATTATGAACTATAATAGATTGGTATGCTTAAAAAGCAGAATTGTTCCAGAATTACAGAAATTCCCCTAATGAAGATAAAATACTGCAAACAGTAAAAAAAATGTAAAAAAAATATGTAAAACATCAAGAAATTTGTCTAAGAGATGTAAATAAACATTGAAGTCAACAGGCTAGGAACTCACCTGATTTAAACTCCATTGAAAACATGGATTATAGTCAAGTCTAGACTTTAAAAAAAATGAATTGTACGCTTACTATAAAAAGTGATGAAAAATGTAAAATCCTTGCCCTCAAGGAGCTTAAAATCTATTTGTGGAGGGAGGGAGACAATATGCAACCAATTATGTACAAACAAGATGTAAATTTACAGGTGTAAATTCTGTCTCAGGTATCATAGTGCTGAGATACAATGAATATCCTTGGGATACAAGGTATATCTTTTTTTGGGAGGAGGGTGGGCAATGGGGGTTAAGTGACTTGCCCAGGGTCACACAGCTAGT